CAAATTAATTTAACTCTTTTCTAATTTTGACAAAGGAGGTAATTTAAAAATACATTAAACTCACGCTAATAAAAAATGTGAATGCAAATATACGTTCGTCATAGAAGGAATTAGTGTTGCAATAATATAATTAGCAAAATGTGAATGCAAATTATTCGGATGTGTAAGAGGAAATTATTGTTAGAAAATTATAATTAGCATGGATTGATAAAAGGCAATCTTTTATTTATTTTATTCACTGAATGTAGGCCATACTATTTATTACTTATAATTTTTAATCAACTATTCAGCACTATTATAGGCGCGTCATCACGTTCATTAGGTGCGCAATGGTTTTAGTTATGAAACTCTATTGTAAATTTTTAAAATTTTTAAGTACTGGAAAAAAATGCGTGAATGGATAAAGTGAAATATTGTATATATTATAGATACTGCCTATTATTTTATACTGTTTTCTAATTATTATTCTATCTTTCGGGTTTTATAGGAGAGGCGTAGCGAGAGGGGGGGGGGGGCATATGTCCCCGGGTGCCGACCTTAGGGGGCGCCAAAGTGGGTTGGAAAAAATTTGCGAGGGGGGGATGGTGGAAATCGAAAGTTTTAGGGCGGGGGGGGGGGGGAAGGGGTGCAAATCGAAAGTTTGAGGGGGGTGCAAATCACCGGAAAAGGCGCGATTTGGCGCTACGGGCTAGACTGTGAGCAATATGCCTTTATTATTGCATTTAAATTGTGTTTATGTTATGAGTGTTGTGTTTGTTTTTTCGGTTTTTTTTGCGTTCGTTTGTGTTGTGTTTAGTTTTGTTCTGTTCCCAAGTTGGTACATTTAAAAAAGATTTACCGTGGCGGAGCACGGGATGCAGCTAGTATATATATATATAGGCCTATATATATATATATATATATATATATATATATATATATATATATATATATATATATATATATATATATATATATATATATATATATATATATATATATATATATATATAATTCTCTTCTGGGAGCCGTTAGAAAACAAGCTGCAAGCGCGCCTTACAGTCCCCTCTCTTCCTCTCTATCGCTAACACCCCCCCCCCCACCCTCACCCCCTCACATGATCTGGTGAGCTGTGGTTCACGCTGTTTACATTTTACAATTATAGAGACGGGTTTGGTGACGGCTATTAGGGGCAGATAATTTAGTTTGAAACGATTTTAAACTTAGAGGAGGTAAGTAAGAGGAGGCTGCTTTCACGTGGTGGGGGGGGGGGGGGGGGATGGGGGTTTAGTGTTTTTAAGCAAATATTTTCAGTGGCAGCATTGGTACTGTCGAATTCACAAATTATAAATTACTGAAAAGTAGAAAAAAACAACAACTAAATAGCGGCGTATGATACGCAGCGGGTCGGCTGGTATATATAAATATATATATATATATAAATATATATATATATATATATATATATATATATATATATATATATATATATATATTTATTTATTTATTTATTTATTTATACTAGATAAATAGCAAGTTGAAGGCACTTTGTTGATAAACCGAAACCAAAACCACAAAACCAAATTAACTACCTCAACCTCAAATTTAACCGGAAACGAAAATTGCAATTGGAAACGGATTTTCGTCAAGAATCGGCCTTTTGACCATATCCGGCAATTTAGACGGATGCGGAAATTCAGGCTGAAACTGCAGTTAATTGACCAGAAACAAAATTTAATTTAAAATGGATTTTTATCCAGAATGGGTATTTTTACCGGATCCGGAAATTTTTACCGGATGAATATGGAAATTTAGGCAGAAACGGAAATTTAACAAAATACGAAATTTTAATTGAAAAAAATTGAGACGGATACGGATACTTTAACCGGTACGAATTTTTTTCGGAACCGGCATTTTAACCTTAACAGGAAAATAAACCTGAAATGAAACAATGGACACCAGCGAGTTGACGAGATTCTTTCCGTAATGTTGTTGACATGGAATAAAAATGTGCTTTTTTAGATTTAGGACCATAAAACTAATAAAAGATAAAATTTTATTAAAAACTTAAGCCTAAAATTAATTCAGAAATGTAATATTTTTAGAATCAATGCTATACAAGTTGCAGATCCAGAGAACTTGTTGAGTTTAAGGCTACATTTCTATTTATTTTCATCAAGCCTAAGTTATAACCCGATGTTTCACTTTCGTAAGACAAACATTGATTGGCTGTAAAGGGACTCCGTGATCGATTTCTGACAGCCCCACTTTATAGTTATTTTGTTTACAAAACTTTGCAGATCAAGTTTTTAAATAACTATGCACATTTAAACACCATGACCTATTTTTTCTATTTTTAGCTTACAATGTGTACAATAAAATTTATGGCGGCCATTGTTTATGTCGCCATTACACGTGAAAACCAAATCGTTTTTGCTTTTTTTAAATTTTTATTTAGTTACCGAAAATATTAAAAATATCAAATACATCCAATCTTTAGTAAAGTCCGAAAAAAACCAGACAGACAGGATTTTATAACCATATTAATTGTAACTACGCCGTGCAAGATTTTTAAATGAATTTATACACCTCTCAAATACCTTTGAGACTTTTCTCGCTGGCGTCCATTATTAACCCAAACCTTAACCGTAATTTGAATACTAACGATTAATATATGTTTTATTTTTTGTGGTCTTTTTAGTATATACTAGCCGTCGGTACCCGTTACACGTGAACTTTAGGCCTATATATTTTAATGTTATACATGTTTGAGAAAAATATTTTATAAAATAGTTATTGAGTTCGCTAGGACGAAGAAGAAAATACCACATCAGTTTACCAGAAATAACTCAGAATTTTAAAGAAACCAGCTTATCTTCTTCTTCTTCGTTCTTAATTATTAGTGTTGAAGGGGATCGAGATTTATCTGCCAGTGGGTTTGAACTCGAGACTTTGTTCGAATGTATCAACCATGAACTTTTTGCCGACTCGACCACGCCTCCAACACAAGCGTTACGTGTCAACTGGTTATGCGCCATTGAGGCCATTGACTCCGATTTCAGCCTGCTTTTCTTTTTGGATTTGCTTCCATAGCCTTTGTCCAACCAAGAACAAACTACAAGGCAGCAGTTGTTTAATTTTGGAGTTGTCTCTCCTAGAAAAGTGGCTGTCCCCAGCTAACGAGCCTCATCTGCCCGAGAGTTCGAACTCGAGACTTTTCGGTTTAGCAACCATGAGCTTTACCGACTCGACCACGCCGACCCCTAAACCAGCTTATAAGATATCATAATTTTCGGTCACCTATATTAGAAACCGGAAACCGAGTAATGAAACATTACCTTAAATCGGAAGTCACTCAAAGTATGAAAGTGATCTAAGTATAATATAAAATATAATATACGAAATTTCGTCTACCTAACTGATGCAAGTTTTTTTGTTTCACCAAAAATAAAGTGTCATTTCCGGTTACCGAAAATGTGTTCAAAAGTTGAAAAAAACCTGCGTATGAAATAGTGTCCCACATATTAAAACGGTACTTAATTAAGCTATCGGCTTTTGAATAACCGAAAGAATATTAAGTACCTCTCCCGGTTATCGGAAATCGCCCAAAATATGAGTGAAAAGTACAAATTGGATATAGTTTTAATTTAATATTTCGTCCACCTAACTGAAACAGTATTAAAGCATTTGAGTTCACTTACAGACACACAGATTGACACACGTACAGACAATATTGAAAAACTATTAGTCAGGTACCCATTAGGGTGACGTAGAAAAGATGGCCGACCTTTTCTTAAAATATGATATTGCGTGAATAATTATGTGTCCACCTTAAAAAAATAAAACACACACACACACACACACACACACACACACACAAACACACACACACACACACACATACACACACCCACCCACCCACACACACACATACACACCCACACACACACACACACACACAGAGAGAGAGAGAGAGAGAAAGAGAGAGAGAGAGAGAGAGAGAGAGTCTCCAGTTCAAATCCACCCCATGCGAATGGCTATCTCTGTTTCTGTCAATGATCTGATCACTGAGTAAGTAATAGATATACCAGCACTTCCTGTGTGGATCAGCTGACTAACTCAATGATAATTGCTCCGACTCTAACCATTTTGAATCTATAAATAGAATAACAAAAGGAAGGAAACGAAATTTAAAACTGATTTCCGCCATTAAAAAAAAACATGAAACCTACAGTTCACGACACATCGCATAGGAATTTAAAATAAATATTAGGCCTATAGGTTTAATACATATTGCACAGAATATAGAAATTTAGATCTAGTGTTCTGGTTAGTAGTTATTTCATGTTTATTAGACTATAGTCTAGAATCTAATCATACGGCTGCAAAAAAAGAAAGTTTGACTTTGAAGGAAATAGAATAGGAATCTAGAGAAGCGGAGGTAAGAAGGTTAAATTAGTAATTTACATGATTTTTATTGTAGTTTCACTGTTTGTTAGGCCCAATTATTAAATCTTTAGATCAGAGGTCCAGCTTGATCATGTGTGGTATCTATTGTGGTGCATTGGAATGAAAAGCCCACATACTTAAATATAGAATCTAGTAGGCCTATACTATAACTGTACTCCCCTATACTTTAAATTTGTTACCACAAGAAAAAAGCCTATTTACTATTATTAGTTATAATTAAATTAAATTGAAATATTTGTTTATCTTTATAGTTTATAGTGAATGCATGCTAATGAGCATTATTCAAGCTGCTGTTATATTTAGGTTTATAGGCCTATATACTATAGACTATATATTATATACCAATATTGTGCATAAAACTTAAAGCATGTAAGCTTACACAATAATAATTATCATTAGACCTATAGTAACTAAGACTCGTACTATTTAGTACTACTTTAATACTACCTTTAAACTATTAGGCATAATGAAATAATGATTAATGATTTCAGTGTTTTCCGCACTCGAGAGGAAAGAGGTTGTAGGGAACTAAGAGACTAATCTTTGTCAAAATACTGGATTTCTGGTGATGACAATAGCAGCAGATAGTATGCGGCTCAGTTAATACTAAAAACAATTGATTTTAGTAATTAGTGGTAAGCTCTTTTTTAAAATAATATATTATAACATGGTATCGCAAAGGTTCAGGTTGTCCAATAAATGGTAATTATAGTCAGGTTAAGGATTATAGTTTAATGCTTGGTTAGTAATATGCATCAAGTTGGGAAAGACATAGAAATGGAAATACATAGAATTTAATGTGTTCATTAGCAAACGTTAATATTTAAAAAATTTTGGGCCTGCTATTTATTGCTGAATAATAAAATCACTATACTTATCCACTATATTATGTTTAAATAAAGTGAGTTTAGATCAGTCGAGTAAATAAATTTAATAGCAAGACATAACTAAAATTTACAATGAATATATATATATATATATATATATATATATATATATATATATATATATATATATATATATATATATATATATATATATATATATATAATATATATATATATATATATATATATATATATATATATATATATATATATATATATATATATATATATAATTTGATTGCTATTTTATAAAAGTATGTAAATCACAGAACAAACATTACTTTGTATTGTGTCTACAACTTAACAAAAATGCTACTACTTTGATAGATAGCACTAAATAGGGGTTTGCTTTAATTTAATAATTTGTGAGATATTCTTGCTAATCTATATGTAAATTGCTTTTCAGGACTATGAGTGTGTGTTTGGCCATCCAGATTTCATAACTACAACTGATGTTCAATTACAAGGGATATTAATCAGTCTCCGTGGACTATACACTGTGCCTAGTTTCATCCTCAGGTAACTGTACTATAGGCATAACCCATTTTTTAAAGTAATTATTATAGCAAGAGATAGCATTATATGTTATAATAAATATAATGGATTTTAATCCAAAATATTTTATTAATTATTTTCTTTTCTTAAATTCTAATAAATCAGTGAGTTGTACAACATAGAGGGTATTATATTTGAATGATAATTGAAACACATATTGTTATAGAGCTCAAAACTATGTACTTATCTAATGTAATTAATATACTGAAACAGTTTTATTGAAGCATATTATTTCATATTTTACCACACAGAGACTGATGTGTAAGCTTAAAGTAAAGACATCAAATCAAAGTATCAGCCATCAAGAGGGTAAATATTGATAGTCTACTTCATTAATCTTCAATATGAATGAACACAATTTTAAATCTATAATCTTTGCTGATAATGTTTGTTTCTTGTTATTCATCATGTTCAGTGCTTTATCTTTTCAAAGTAATTAGTTATAGTAAAGAAATAGTAGAGATAGTAATATAAATTTGTAATGTATTTCTCTTGCTAGTTCCACAAAAGAATATATCAAAATATTTTGTCTTTATTTCATTTACAGAAGAACATTCAAAATCATATTGTGATACACAAATCAAGCAAGTCTATGACCAGTATTATGATACAGGCCAAGAAAAGGCTGGATATTTGATTGGAAGGGTGGCACAAAAAAAAGATGGGTTATCACTAGTGAAACAAGCCCGGAATACAGTTCACTGTTGGGACATCAAGCCAAATACTTCTAAACTTATTTGAATCATTTTTGCTCTTTATTATAATTCATCAAATTGTCTTATTAAATATATAAATTTATATATATACACAATTCCTAATATAGAATTTCTAAAAATGTTTTATTATAATATTTAAAAATGAAACAAACATGTTCCCAGAACACAGCCACATAATGTCAACATGTTCCCAGAACACACAAAATGGCAACATGTTCCCAGAACACACAAAATGGCAACATGTTCCCAGAACACAGCCAAATAATGTCAACATGTTCCATGAACTCACAAAATGGCAACATGTTCCCAGAACACACAAAATGGCATTATGTGCCCAGAACACACAAAATGACAACATGTTCCCAGAACACACAAAATGTCATTATGTGCCCAGAACACACAAAATGGCAACATGTTCCCAGAACACACAAAATGGCAACATGTGCCGAGAACACAAAAAATGACAACATGTGCCGAGAACAATGCCCCTTACAGATGACATGTTCCCAGAACACAGCCCGTAGTTGGCCTGCCAAAAAAAGTTAACAATACTTCACTTTTTCCTTAACAATTTTACAAGCAGGTAATAAAGCCATAAATCTTTACTGTGGTGGATATAGCCAATAAAATAGGGTAACCTTCACTATATGCAATTTGTAGTTTTCAATGCCTGTCCCATGCATATTATTTAGCCTAGTGTTTTGGGCCTTGCTTCATTTACTCAATAAATTATATAGGCATGAGAATTTTCATTTTAATCTGCAAAAGCTACATTCTGTACATTATTATTTTCAAACTACATCATATATTTTTCCCTTCTCTGATAAAAAACATTCCTCATATTGTTTGTGTCAAGTATTTTATTTTTATCTATGCAATACTATATTCCTATTTTATAATAATTACTTTTATACAAATTCTTTTGAAAAGTGTTCTTTATAGATTTGTATCACTTTCTTTATTTATGAAAAATAAAACTTTGTTTGGGAATCCTTTTTTTGTTTCTTTACAAATTAATAAACATAAATACCTACCAGGCTTAATATCCAGCAACATTAAACAATTAAGTAGGGCTTATTGTTAGTAATGGTAAATTTTATACTAATTAATGTGATTTCTCCTGGCCACCTTGTTCTGAATACCTTCAACTGTGTCAATGTTGCTACCAACTCCAATAATTAAAACTGAAGCCATTTACTATGAAGTAAAACTTGGGTGTAATTCAAATCCACCCAGTTGCCGGGGGCAAGGTACCAAACATGATGTCCAGTAGAGGGTTAAGAAAGTATCATTATTAAATCACTATTAAACCCCTCCTCGCCTACGCCATTGCTTGTATGCATATGGACGTGATCGGAATTTACTGTATTGCTTATAAGTCGAAAATGCGAAAAAGACACGTTTAACATTACTAGTTTGAAGAATAACATTCATGTTAGCAGAAACAGGTGTATTCTAAAGTTGTTTAAATTCATTTTATTGATCATTACGATTATGTTGTCGTAAAATATAGGCCTATTTTAAAAAAGCATATTTAAAAAGTGTTTTAACGCATTTTCTTCTAACAAAAGCCTCACATACATGATATCATTAACATTACGGCAAATCAAACCCTCGAAGAAGCCCCATCAACCATTCAATTATTACGATGGGCAACAAATAAAACGCCCGCATCAAGGTACAGTCCTTATGCTATCGACATTAGTTCAACCCCGACAACTAACGTGTCCCAAAACCAAGAATTGAAATCTTGACCCATTATTCTGATTAATTAGTGGTTAAACATCTTTAGGCATCTGAAAACGTTAGTTTTTAATCTAGTGTACTCAAAAAGGAACAACATAAAGCTTTATGCCGCCTTAAAAACCCAACCCCATGTTACGCAAGGCGTCGATAGAGAAACAATAAGGCTTTGAGTCAGAACAGGCACGGGCTTAGATAACTGACAAAATACCTAATCTGTAGACCTCACAAGTCTAGACGATATATTCGTGCCTCTGTTTTTAGACTTTCAGAACACATACATGTGATGTGGTCAGTAGGCACATAAAAGAGAAAAGTAGTTTTAATCTAGAGACTTCAAACATTTCTGAAGGACCGAATTTGAACTTGTAGGCCGTGGTGTCGATGCTAAAGTTTAGCGTCGTCCGCAAAGATAAGCTATCGTTATATCATCTCTATGCCCATATTGTGACAGATATTTACAAATGTGTCTAATATAGGACAGAATACATAGCTACTCAACAGAGATAAGCGCAATCACTTGTCCCCGACTTAAGAAACCACTGTACTGCAAAACCCACCTAAATGGAAAATGTCTTAGATCTGTGTTTTAATACAAATGTGTACCTCGTCGCGAGTTAGGACCTGTAGGTAGTCTGTTACTACTCTATATCTAAAAACAATAAAAAGATAACGTGAATTTTACTTGTTCCATTTCTTAGTTAAATGAGAAAGTCTATCGACCCCCCTCCCACCCCCGAACGAAACGGAATTTATATAGAAAAAAAAATACTTTTAACAGTGTCCGCACGCCACCCCCCCCCCCCCCCCGGAAAGATTTCGCCAGGGCGGTGCCCTAGCAGGAAACAGAGGCGTAGCAACCTATTCCGGCGCCCGGGGCGAACTGTCAATGTTGTGCCAACCTTATTCAAACGCTGGCAAAAAGGCGCCCATCCCTACATACACTCCCCTATATAAAAAAATTGAGGATATCAGTCATGTATAAATCTGTTTTCTTAAATTTTACTGAAGAATGAGGATTTTAAAAAAATTGTCTACCCCTTTTGGCGCCCCATTCGATCTGGGGTCTCTGACAGGAAGCAATGCAATTTTTCTCCATAAAAATAAAAGCCAGATGCAATTTGACACTGTTCGTACGAGAGTCATAAAATTTTGGGGAGTTGGTGAAAAGGGTTTCGAGAAAGAAAAAAAATTCTTAAGTGTGGCACCCTGGGAGGGTTCGATTTTTCTCATTATACGATTATGAGCCCAGAATCCAGAGGGGAATCCAGAGGGACTATCTCATCAATTGCGGTCATAGGTAATACTAGATTCAGCAGAGGCGTAGCGAGGGGAGCGAGGGGTACATATGTCCCCGGGCGCCAACCCTAGGGGGCGCCAAAATGGGTGGGAAAAATTTAAAAGCTCATTTTAGCTACAGTTTTGCATTATAAATATAAAAAAAATATGGGGGGGGGGGGGGGGGAACGCCAAATTGAAAGTTTGTCCCCGGCGGGAGGGGGGGGGGGGGTGCCAAATTGAAAATTTGTCCCCAGGCGCCAGGAATGGTGCTACATCTCTGAGATTCAGTGATAAAACTACACCAGGTTCATCCGCCAGCTCCCCAGCGGTTGAGTGGCCCAGAGCAGCCAAGACCCACCTCGTGCGACACTACGGTTTAGATGGGCTACTATAAATGTTCACTAAGTAGAATAATGAGCGCCCGCCGGCGCCCTGGCAGTTGGTGACAGCGAGCGCCCCGGGCTCTACCGAGAGTGCCTCTTTAAAGAGCACCCTACAATAGGGACACGGTGGCACACGACATTTTATAATTAAACCGAATTAGGGGCGCCCCTGCGGAAGTATAACCAGTGGCTCCCTGGAGCGCCAAGGGACGCGTCTCTAACACATGGGCGGTCGCCAATGTGTGTTCTACCTCACTATTACAGAGGTTGATTAACGTACACTCAAGGCTTTCATACAGTGAGCCTTGGTGCGTCTAGGCGGCAGTGTGGACAAACCCGCGCCCCAAAAACGAATGTGGGTTTGTTTGTTTAAGCATTACCAAAGATTTCATTCGTTTGTCATTCAAATTTGAGAAGCTAATGCTAATACCCCTGTGGTGGTTTCTGCAAAAAAAAATCGATTTGGTGGCGCCCTGGCAGGGTTCCATTTAGCTCCCCGGGTTTTCCCTTGAGTACTATGGTACCTTTGTTCGTTTTAATAATTGCAAAACGCTATGAATATGATGGGCTACTATAATCGCTCACTATACCAAGTGAGGCCCCTTCCTACCTAGGCCCACCTACCTACATACCTAACTCCCTGCCTACGTACCTACCTATCCACTAACCTGCCTGCGCTGCTCCCTGCCTACCTACTTTCCTACCTACCGTTATTCCTGCCAAACTGCTTTCCTTCCACCCCGCCTGTCTACCCACCTCACATCCTACTTACACACACATATCTATATGTAAGTGTTAGTGTGCTCTAGGACTATGTATTTTTACATTTTTGTTGTAGAACTATTCAGTATAAAGGAGTTTCCTTTTTTTTTTGACGTTGTAACTGCCGCTAAAATATTCTTTTTTGTATGTGTGCATAAAATAGTGTAGGTTTATTAACAAAAGTAAATTTTAGTATGTATTTAAGTGTATATAATCATTTTCGTCCAGCCAATGTGTTCATAATCTTAAATTTAAAGACCCATGAATCTCGATAGCCAAAGATTTAGAATGAGAATAATTGCTATTTAACCAGAAACACCTATTCTAATTATTGTAAAAATATTTTTTTTAAATAAATATACACAGAGATAGATTGTTTTCTTAAATAATTAATTAAAAAAGTCAATTGTATTTCATAACGAAAATTAACACAAAATACATTCGAATAGAAAACTGACAAGGGAGACTACTCTAATATTTGTAGGAATAATAGTTTTTATTTAGATTTTTTTTTTATTATTAGAAGAAAAGTTAATCATGTAGGTTCTATAAAAGATTACCTTGCATTTAAAAAAAAAGATATTCGATAGGTTTAGAATGAGAAATAGTCAAAATTATTTATTATTTTCGTTAGTTGTTTTTTTTTTAATAATATAGTACAAAGACCTGTTTTAATTATTTTTTAAAAATCTTATTTTAATTAATAAATTATAAATGAAGATCGAGGATCTATATTTAAAAAAAATAGTTTAACTGTCCCTAAACAATTGTATCAATCGCTGAGAAATTAAGAATTAATAATTACGTTTAACGCTTTATTAATTAAACGAGTTGAATTATTTCCGTTTTGATAAACTCTCTCTCTCTCTCTTTATAACTACTAACGCTTTATCATTGAGTTTCTTAAGAGAAAAATACAGGAGAGCGGTAGTTATCATTGACTCTGTCATTGATAATTTCATTGAGTCTTTCATAGAAAATAGGGTTTGATCGGCGAGTGGAACGTCCCTGAGTCCACTCAGGTCTTATGTGTACCTAATGTCAGGGAAAGTAAAGGTAGCTGGTATAGTGCTGACCACACTATCCATTCATATGCCGAGGTCGAGAAACAAAGGTGTAAAGAAGAATCTTTACTTAATTCGCTACATGGAAACATCATACGATCCGCTTTTTATTAGCAGAACGACAACAGTACCGACGTTTAAGATATTAAATGCTACGCTTAACATGTGATTACAACTTTGTGGATAATGTATTCTTTTGATATTTTGCAAACATGTATCGTCTTGCTAGATTTCTCTCCATCTCTCCCTCCCCCCTCTCTCGCTCTCTCTCTCTCTCTCTCTCTCTCTCTCTCTCTCTCTCTCTATATATATATATATATATATATATATATATATATATATATAGATATATATATAGATATAGATATATATATAAATCTTTATATCTTTCATTGTTTCGTTCTCTCCCCCTCTATCTCTATCTTTCATTCTTTGTTTCCGTCTCTCCCCCGCCCCAACCATTTGTTTTCCTACAATCAGAACAAAACTTCTTATCTTCTAACGTCACATACAGTGATGCCACTGAACATTTCGAAACTAATTACATGACACGGAAGTATCTCTAGATCACATAGAGATAAGATTGATAAGGTCTATGGTAGTACAAGGTAGTGTTTTGTACACACTTTTAGGTCATCAAATCATAGGCCGACGATGTAAGTAAATGTTTTGTTTATTTTATTTGAAATATTTATTGTGTAGCCTTTTAAATTATTACTAAGGGCAGTATAAAGATTTACATTTGAAATGTAATGGTCTTAAAAGAACGACTTAGTTATAGGAAGTTTTCTACTCAGAATGTACAAGGCTTATAGATAAGGAGACTAGTAAATGCAAATGTTATATGCTGTGTAAAATATTTAGACTAAAGCTTTTAAAGGCAAAAGAAAAACAGGACAAAAATGAATAGCTTTAGTGGGAAAAATTTGAGTTTAATTTTTTACCACATTCCACAAATGCACATATTTTTACTATTTATAAAATAGATTTTTAAATTCGTCAAATGTGTATAACTGATTGTTTAATCGTATAATTAAAATTATGAACAAAATGTATTGTACAAAGCTTAACTATAATTGTTTAAATAATTTATATTTATCAATCATACTTTACATCTGGTAAAGAGAAACCTTAACATAAGAGTAAATAATTTTCTACAAGGCAAACGTTTTCAGATACTACTAAACTTTAGACAAACAATCGTTCAGTGTATTTACACATTATTACACTGAGATGAAGATGAACTTAACATAATAGTAAATAATGTTCTATACGGCAAACGTTTTCAGATACTACTAAACTTTAGACATACAATCGATCAATGTATTTACCCTTGGCCAACAACGTAGTGGTTTTGAGTTGCCGCTAATACGTGTGTGATCAACGCCCCCCCCCCCCCCACCTGTTGAAAAAGAGTTGATTAGGTTGGTTGTGATATCAATTATCCGTCGCGTTCATTCATTATCGTGATGAGGACGTTAGGACATAGGTCCTCTAGCATACGTTATTGAATGACTAACGTTGGTAGGACGTTGTTAATAGTTATGTATATCTTTAAGTCACGTGAGTTATTAAACCAATAATAAAACAATATTCTACTAATGACACAATTCTGTATGTCTACAGATGGGTGTACGAGTAACGATAAAGTTGGCAGTTGCTCTTTTGTTGTTGGTATTTGGTGGACATTACACGTCATGTCATGTAAGTAATTCATAAAACTTATTTTTAATTTAGTGACTAATTTATCATCTTTCCCCGTTTATGTCCAAGACACATGGGGTAGGTAAAGTAGAGTTTATCTGTTTCAATAACCTCGGCGTAGAAGGGTATAGTGTGGTTAGCACTTTACCCAACCGAATTTGTTTCCTTAACGTTAGTCAGGTACTCATTAGAGCTGGGTGGGCTCAGAAAAGTCTTACAGACTCCAGGCCGGGATCCGAACTCTAAATTTTGGAGTTAGTAGTTTAACGCTCTTCCACTTGGCCACATCGTCCCCAAGTGACTAATTAGAGCCCCTTGAATGCATACATTCTCCATATTTTAACATAAGCATGCACTAGTCTTACGAAAAATAGAAAGTAAAAATTATCTGTTTCCTAACTCTGTGTACTATCTATTATATCCAGATGTCAACTGAAGATTCTGGCACAATTATCACTAGCCGGCTCAGCAGGTTTGTTTGTTTTGTTAAAACATCTAAGTTTGGTAATATTGGTATATTAAATAATAGGGTTAGTATTAGAGTAAACAGCGTAATCATCACGTTTCTTCAACTGAACTAAAGCCACATTTGTTTGATTTTCAGCTTCTCGATAGACTTTATTTCAATTCATTATAGTAATATTATCAGGCATAACTAAAGCGTAATTCGTTTAGTTCTACATCTTTATGCAAGACCTAAAGTCTGATTACCATATTCTCATGACGAGACCTATAGACTCATTTGTCAAATTCACCCAATCTCTTGAACGCCTAAAGCCCAATAATATTATCTTACAAATATATTTGCCAGACCTAAAGCCCCACTTGACTAATCTATTTGCCAGACCTAAAGCCCCTTTTGACTAATCTATTTACCAGACCTAAAGCCCCACTTGACTAATCTATTTGCCAGACCTAAAGCCCCACTTGACTAATCTATTTGCCAGACCTAAAGTCCCATCTGACTGATCTATTTGCCAGACCTAAAGCCCCATCTGACTAATCTATTTGCCAGACCTAAAGCCCCACTTGACTAATCTATTTGCCAGACCTTAAGCCCCACTTGACTAATCTATTTGCCAGACCTAAAGCCCCACTTGACTAATCTATTTGCCAGACCTAAAGCCCCATTTGACTAATCTATTTACCAGACCTAAAGCCCCACTTGACTAATCTATTTGCCAGAACTAAAGCCCCATTTGACTAATCTATTTACCAGACCTAAAGCCCCACTTGACTAATCTATTTGCCAGACCTTAAGCCCCACTTGACTAATCTTTTTGCCAGACCTAAAGCCCCACTTGACTAATCTATTTGCCAGACCTAAAGTCCCATCTGACTGATCTATTTGCCAGACCTAAAGCCCCATCTGACTAATCTATTTGCCAGACCTAAAGCCCCATTCGACTAATCTATTTGCCAGACCTAAAGCCCCATTTGACTAATCTATTTACCAGACCTAAAGCCCCATTTGACTAATCTATTTGCCAGACCTAAAGCCCCATTCGACTAATCTATTTGCCAGACCTAAAGCGCCATTTGACTAATCTATTTACTAGACCTAAAGCCCCATCTGACTAATCTATTTACCAGACCTAAAGCCCCACTTGACTAATCTATTTACCAGACCTAAAGCCCCATTTGACTAATCTATTTGCCAGACCTAAAGCCCCATTCGACTAATCTATTTGCCAGACCTAAAGCCCCATTCGACTAATCTATTTGCCAGACCTAAAGCCCCATTCGACTAATCTATTTACCAGACCTAAAGCCCCTTTTGTAGCAGACTGGGTAGAACACATTGACCTCGATCGTGCCAGTAGGGCCTCGTTTAATTTTACTGCAAAAAACTGGCCACATGATATACCTTACATCATAGACTCCTCATATAAAGGTGAGTACATTTTAAAATTGTTATTGTAAGCAGGTAAAGCTTTCAACAATCATTTGACAATCTTACAATCCAACTATTTAAAATAGGGTTAACTTAAGCATGTAACCATGAAAAAAAAAATAACTATATAATAACGCAATGACGTCCTTCACATGAGTTCTTAAAAATAGAAATCTAACTTCTCATTCTAACAAACATCCTATGTTTGTATGCATTAGCTAATACCGCGTCTATTGTATATTTTAAAACTTCCATCCACATTAATGTAGTAGGACCCACAAATTTGTACATTGTACTCAGGTTACCAATCTTATACGATCAGCTAAACATTGATTAACTAAGCTCAACCAATGAAGGCGTTCATTCAGAAAATTGAAATGTCGTAGTTTGACCACATGTTTGTTCCCATTTCATTTTCCCTATGATCTGGGTAAAAAGATATACTTGCAGTCTACAAGAAAAAGGTAGTCGTGACTCGATTTAAGTATAATAAATACTACTTAAAATATTGTAATACATCAATGGGATTTATAGTGGCTGGTTTCTTTAGGCCAAATTATATTTTATGCATTTACTAGGCATACTGCCTAGCTTCGCTTAGGTTTTCAGAAACATTTGATAATTTGAATACTAATTATTTGGTGATGGATGAGGTGTGGAGTGCTTAATTTTAAACAGTAATGCTAATTTTAGAGAAGTTGTTGTATGTTGTTTAACAATCGCTTCCAGAGCAAAAATTAGAAAGTACGCAATTTATAACTAAAATGGAATTAGAAATACAGAGGTTCCATTAACAGTATATCTCAAAATTTATATTACATTGACTTTAAAAAATTAATTTTTTATTTAATTATGATACGTAGCTTAATTAACAACTTATTTTTTTAAACAAATGTTATACTTTGTCGTTTTCTGTTTCTGTTTAAAATAGTATACAATTATTTGAAAAATAATTATTAAAAAGGTTACCTCCCTTGAAAATGGACCGAATGACGTATTTTTTTGTTTACCTTTTTTTAAAAACAGTTACTATGCTTATATAAAAATTTGATATATGAACATATTTAACGACTACAATAGCTTTTTCCGACGGGAATAACGTTTTTTTTGTTACCCTCCAGGGTCGGTCTACGACCTCAAATAATATTAAGGGGATCGTTCGTCAATTTATTTATATATCTCATATAAGGAGAATTTCACTCGCGGTCACTTTTTAGCCCTCGTCGAGGGCTTTGAGTCTGACCAACAGTTTTTTCATACGGCCTAGTCATCTATAGAAGTGTATGCAAAACATTAGCTTGATGTACAGAGGTTAAGTAACCTAAAACTTGTTTTGGAAATTCCCTGTTTTTTCCATAAAATACAAAGATTATATAGGGAAATACAACTGGTCAGTTTTGACCCCTTTACGAAGTTTTCCCAGATATGCCGAGTTTTTTGTGACACCCCAAGGTGTTCTCCTACCACCTCACAAAATTTCAAGGGGGGTCGTCGGAGGAATTTTTTTTCGTGATAGAGCTCATATAAAGAGAATTTCACTCGCGGTCACTTTTTAGCCCTCGTCGAGGGCTTTGAGTCAAACCGACAGGTTTCCCTAAAGGTCAAGCCATTCAGCTAAAAGTATGCAAAAACGTAGCCAGATATACTGAGTTTAAGTACCCTAAAGTCTGCGTTGAAATGACCCTCTGTTTTTCCCATAAAATACAAAGATTATATAGGGAAATACAACTGGTCAGTTTTGACCCCTTTACGAAGTTTTCCCAGATATGCCGAGTTTTTTGTGACACCCCAAGGTGTTCTCCTACCACCTCACAAAATTTCAAGGGGGGTCGTCGGAGGAATTTTTTTTCGTGATAGAGCTCATATAAAGAGAATTTCACTCGCGGTCACTTTTTAGCCCTCGTCGAGGGCTTTGAGTCAAACCGACAGGTTTCCCTAAAGGTCAAGCCATTCACCTAAGAGTATGCAAAAAATTAGCCAGATATACTGAGTTTAAGTACCCTAAAGTCTGCGTTGAAATGACCCTCTGTTTTTCCCATAAAATACAAAGATTATATAGGGAAATACAACTGGTCAGTTTTGACCCCTTTACGAAGTTTTCCCAGATATGCCGAGTTTTTTGTGACACCCCAAGGTGTTCTCCTACCACCTCACAAAATTTCAAGGGGGGTCGTCGGAGGAAATTTTTTTTCGTAATAGAGCTCATATAAAGAGAATTTCACTCGCGGTCACTTTTTAGCCCTCGTCGAGGGCTTTGAGTCAAACCGACAACTTTCCCTAAAGGTCAAGCCATTCACCTAAGAGTATGCAAAAAAATTAGCTAGATATACTGAGTTTAAGTACCCTAAAGTCTGCGTTGAAATGACCCTCTGTTTTTCCCATAAAATACAAAGATTATATAGGGAAATACAACTGGTCAGTTTTGACCCCTTTACGAAGTTTTCCCAGATATGCCGAGTTTTTTGTGACACCCCAAGGTGTTCTTCTACCACCTCACAAAATTTCAAGGGGGGTCGTCGGAGGAAATTTTTTTTCGTAATAGAGCTCATATGAAGAGAATTTCACTCGCGGTCACTTTTTAGCCCTCGTCGAGGGCTTTGAGTCAAACCGACAGCTTTCCCTAAAGGTCAAGCCATTCACCTAAGCGTATGCAAAAAATTAGCCAGATATACTGAGTTTAAGTACCCTAAAGTCTGCGTTGAAATGACCCTCTGTTTTTCCCTTAAAATACAAAGATTATATAGGGAAATACAACTGGTCAGTTTTGACCCCTTTACGAAGTTTTCCCAGATATGCCGAGTTTTTTGTGACACCCCAAGGTGTTCTCCAACCACCTCACAAAATTTCAAGGGGGGTCGTCGGAGGAATTTTTTTTCGTGATAGAGCTCATATAAGGCGCCGGTCAGTCGAGGTCAGTTTTGACCCCCTCTCCGTAGACTTTTTGCCGAACCGTCACCGGCCCTCGTGTTCTATCGCCATAAGGCACCTTCGTGACAAATTTGACGCGCCTGCGGCGCCGGGAAGTGCCCTATCGGGCACCTGACCACTTTGCTTTATATATATAGATTTTTTCCAAAAAATGATTACAATTTAGATTTTAAAAAATAGCTAATGAATTGATTGCTTACATAAGATGATGGATGCTAAACAGATTGTAGTTTACTTGAACGTAAGTTTGTTCTTCGAACAATCTTAAAATAAAATGTAAGTAGAAAGGCACATATAAAATGCCGACTTCAACTTACTTATCTTCGAAAACCAGCCCACTACCTTTTACAAAATAATGATCCCATCCCAATGACCCCCATACAGATACTTTCTCGAAATTTAAAATTATACTGTTGTGATCTGGATGGTTATAAAATAGCGGGCACGAACGGGTATTAAACCGGTTACCAAGCCGGACATCCCAACAGGTCAGTGTGTCCCGGACAAATGCCAAGTATAAAGAATGACAGGCCGGAGCGGACTGACTAGAAGTAACGCCACAGGCCGAAGGCGGACATCCCAAAAATGATGACACCTGAGGTTGACCCTTCAAGGCCACGACAGACGGGGTCAATGCCTGGGGTACGACTGCTTCAAGTGAAGTGTGGTGTGCTAGCGGAAACAAATAAAATATTAAATAAAACACATACCTAGCGGTTTTCGAACCGACGTTAGCAGATTTCCCCCCCCCCCCCCCCCCAACGAAGAAATATAATTTTTATAGAAGATATATACTTTACTAGTGTCCACCCCAGAAAATTTAGTTTCCACCCCTTCTCCCCCCGAAAATTTCGAATCCCCCCCCCTACCCCTCCCCTCGAGAAAAATGTTTGAAAGATACTCTGGTTGTTGTGCGCTTCCACGAACCCCACTATAGAAGTGTTACTGTGTACACGTGAGTTGATTCCAGTGTAGCGCATGTGGTAGACATTTCAGAACATTTGTGTTGGGCATTCTAATACACAGGCGACAGGGTGACGTTTAGAGAGGTGCTGGACCACATCTCCAGTCGTCTGTGTGTGACGTTCCATGACGTGGCTGACACGTATGACCCCAGGGAGGTCAACTGGCTGACCAATCACGGCTTTAAGACAAATGCTTACGTCAGTGTCAAAGAAAATGGCGGGTAAGCTACATCACATAGGCGTTATATATATATATATATATATATATATATATATATATATATATATATATATATATATATATATATATATATATATATATATATATATATATATATATATATATATATATATAGTGTTCGTTACATATTCGGATTTGTTCTTAATAAATCAGGTGTTCAGCTTCACACGGTGAGGGAACTAACCCAGGTCCAAAAGTTGTCTACCCTTGCAATGGTTTTGTAAGTGTCCAGATTCTATTGCTAGTTAAGTTAACTACAATAATAAATCTGCCGTTACTTTAAATATAAAAAACTACTTTCTTTAAATATATTAATGCACTACTATTTATATCACTATAAATAAAAGCGTGGGCCGCTTGTTTAAATACTTATTATTATAGCGGCCCATTGCGTGCCTATTAAACGTGAAGACGCCCTTTTATCGTAGAGCCCCCCCCCCCCCACCCACCTCGCTCCACGCCTTAGACGGCCGTGATGACGCGTGTGGATAGAACTGCCTACTAATTCGGTCCAAATTTTAATTAATTTATAAAAAATAATTAGGCTACCAATTAAGTAATTTTGAATGTCACGATGCATTGTCTTCATGTCTTGACCCACGTACTGTCAGTTAGAAGTGCATGCAATTTCGCACGGACATTTCGATCTAGACAGCAGAGTAAGTGAGTTAAATAAAAGCTCGTAAAAATAGGAAAGCTGAATAGACGTTCAATGTTGTAAATACGTATTAATATACCTATTAATAGAAAGCGTGAAACTATAAATAGTTGCTTATGGTACTCACCAGGGCATCAACCTGCACGAGATGTTTCACGTGCTTGGTGCCATCCACACCCACCAGGGGCGGATCCGTGACTCGTACATGTCTATCAATGAGGCAGATATCCAAAGCAGTGAGTTGGTTTATGATACCCTAAGACGGGTCAAATAAGATGAGGATTCGCGATTTTTTTGTGTGCCTCAGACATGTAATTTACAGCGTCAGTTCTGTGTTCGCTTTAGTATTACAGTTTTCAGCATCGGCTTGTGAGGACTGATACAGATTTACAATAGTAATATTACTTTCTTACTTGTAGCCTACTTTCATTCATTTAAGATGGTTTACTTATACATATATCTAATACAAAACGTCTAAATATAAAAAAAAAATTATTAAAAAAAACCAACCTGAAAATGCAAATGTGTAATGAGGATTCACGATTGAATGCTTGAATGTCACTGTTAGCGATGTAGAGATTATCTGCAAGGCTCGTTACGTTGAGCTATTATGTTGTCTAGGCTTTTTTGTCCGGAAAATGTGTTTGGAAATAGAAATAAATTATTGAGAAAATAATTAATAAGGAAATAACTTAAACTTTACGTCATTAGATCAAAGTCATTTACTAGAAAATACTTGTATCAATTTAAATATGTCACGTGTTAAAATATTTTTACTGTAAGCCTTCCTGTATCAGAATAAAAAGAATGCCATTGGATAGAGGCTCCTAATATTTAAAAACATGCTTTTATTAATAGTTGAAGATGCTTACATTATTATCGTTAAACACTATTTTATGGGGAATGTTTAAACTAATTCTGAGGTGCTTACGTTTATACGTCCATATAATCGCTACATTTATTTGAAATGTTCAACTGGCGATATTTATCAAATCAGGTTCAATGTTTTGTGAAGACAAAATCACATATATTTCATTCCCTGTTTTTTTTTTAGACTTGGTGTGTCCTTACGACAAAGACACGTACTTTTTATCTCTTTTTTGTTCTTAGTCTTTTTGTCTACTTACAATAAAATTCACACAGGCTACTTTTCACACCCTTTATTTTCATCTAGACTTGGTATTTGCTTACGACAAAATCACAGACCCCACATTGATCAACGACTACTTCGATCCCAGGTCCAGCTTGATGTACCGAGATGGGGTGAGTAGATCGATTCCTTTTATACAATTTAGTATTGCGAGATGGATGTGACTTGACATAACCCTTTGTGGCCCTGAACAGCAAAGGACAGCAAAGACACTTATCAATTGTACACAATTTTGAGCGGCTCTCTTTATTTGTGCCCATGTAAGCCCGGTATCTCTAGCCTCATCCGGGTTTTCCTTGTCTAGACCACTTTCCTCTTCCCCTGGGGATTATAGTCTAATGCTTTCCTAGCTATGTTCTCCTCTTCCCCTGGGGATTATAGTCTAATGCTTTCCTAGCTATGTTCTCTTCTTCCCCTGGGGATTATAGTCTAATGCTTTCCTAGCTATGTTCTCCTCTTCCCCTGGGGATTATAGTCTAATGCTTTCCTAGCTATGTTCTCTTCTTCCCCTGGGGATTATAGTCTAATGCTTTCCTAGCTATGTTCTCCTCTTCCCCTGGGGATTATAGTCTAATGCTTTCCTAGCTATGTTCTCCTCTTCCCCTGGGGATTATAGTCTAATGCTTTCCTAGCTATGTTCTCCTCTTCCCCTGGGGATTATAGTCTAATGCTTTCCTAGCTATGTTCTCCTCTTCCCCTGGGGATTATAGTCTAATGCTTTCCTAGCTATGTTCTCCTCTTCCCCTGGGGATTATAGTCTAATGCTTTCCTAGCTATGTTCTCCTCTTCCCCTGGGGATTATAGTCTAATGCTTTCCTAGCTATGTTCTCCTCTTCCCCTGGGGATTATAGTCTAATGCTTTCCTAGCTATGTTCTCCTCTTCCCCTGGGGATTATAGTCTAATGCTTTCCTAGCTATGTTCTCCTCTTCCCCTGGGGATTATAGTCTAATGCTTTCCTAGCTATGTTCTCCTCTTCCCCTGGGGATTATAGTCTAATGCTTTCCTAGCTATGTTCTCCTCTTCCCCTGGGGATTATAGTCTAATGCTTTCCTATCTATGTTCTCCTCTTCCCCTGGGGATTATAGTCTAATGCTTTCCTAGCTATGTTCTCCTCTTCCCCTGGGGATTATAGTCTAATGCTTTCCTAGCTATGTTCTCCTCTTCCACTGGGGATTATAGTCTAATGCTTTCCTAGCTATGTTCTCCTCTTCCCCTGGGGGTTATAGTCTAATGCTTTCCTAGCTATGTTCTCCTCTTCCCCTGGGGGTTATAGTCTAATGCTTTCCTAGCTATGTTCTCCTCTTCCCCTGGGGGTTATAGTCTAATGCTTTCCTAGCTATGTTCTCCTCTTCCCCTGGGGATTATAGTCTAATGCTTTCCTAGCTATGTTCTCCTCTTCCACTGGGTATTATAGTCTAATGCTTTCCTAGCTATGTTCTCCTCTTCCCCTGGGGATTATAGTCTAATGCTTTCCTAGCTATGTTCTCCTCTTCCACTGGGGATTATAGTCTAATGCTTTCCTAGCTATGTTCTCCTCTTCCCCTGGGGGTTATAGTCTAATGCTTTCCTAGCTATGTTCTCCTCTTCCACTGGGGATTATAGTCTAATGCTTTCCTAGCTATGTTCTCCTCTTCCACTGGGTATTATAGTCTAATGCTTTCCTAGCTATGTTCTCCTCTTCCTTTCTCAGGAGATGCCCTATCCATTGGATATGTCCCTGTCTATTTGCTGTTGTTTGGTGCAGAGGTGTAGCGAGGGGGGTGGGGCGGGGGTGCGGACCGCACAGGGTGACACCATTTAGGGGGGTGACACCAAGGCAAAAAAATAGCAAAATATATAGAGAAAAATGATAATTCCACTAAAGTAAGTGATTAATTAGAGTGTTAAATAATGCTGTAAGAGGTGCAAATCGAAAGTTTGAAGGTAGGGGTGCAAATCAAAAGTTTGAGGGGGGTGGGGTGCAAATCGAAAGTTTGAGGGGGGTGCAAATTGAAAGTTTGTCCCCCGGAAGGGTCGCTACGCCTCTGGGGGGTGACGCCATTAAGTGCCGAACCGGGTGCCACCCGACCTCGCTATGCCACTGGTTTGGTGTGTTACCACAGGTGTTTATTGTATAACTTATTTGGCCATCTTATCTTGAGGATCTGTCGTAAACTTCTGTTTGTAAACTACTGCAGAGGAATACACTGTTGCTATTTTAAAAGTATTTTTAAATAAAAAAAAGGTTCCTTTTTTATAACTCTCTATAACCTATGTGGAAGTAACTTACACTACATTAAATTTAACTTTTTAAAAAACTTGTATTTAAAAAAAAATTCTTCGCAATATTGCTACTTTTTATAATTCACAAAATTATCAATTTATTTAAATGTATTCTACTAGAGGATAAAACTCAGCTAAATTTTTTCGCAATGCACAGCATAGTCACGATGTAAATGCATCCTCCACTAGCTAAACCTCAGCTTATGCTACGGCGTGGCCTAGCGGCAGAGCACTACAATGCTACTCCCAAAAGTCTCGCGTTCAATTCAGCACCTGAGGCCACCCAGCTTTCATGGGTACCTAACTCACTTTAAGAAAGTAAAGGCGACTGGACATTGTACTGACCACACTATCCCTTTATATCCGGATGTCACAGAAACGGGTGTAGACTATATCACTTGCCCCACGGACCGTCATGTTCGGAAAAGAAACTCTACTCACTTAAATTCTACATTTATATATACACAAACAATTGCACATGATAGACATAATGTGACCCATTTCATACTTCACTACTCTTTCAAAAAAGCAGAGTCCAATAAATAGAGTGTATCAACTGACCATTGCCTTTGCATCTTCACAGACCTGGAATCTCGACGGCCTTGAGACCTACACCCCTATAAGAGACGATTTTTTCCAATCGCCCTTAGAGTTTTCGGAAGATCATGTCGTTTTCCTGGAGTTAAATTCTATTTACCGATGTAATGGTAGGGAGAAAAAACATTATTTTTCAGAAATTAAATTCAACATACATCAAACCAAAGTGTAGCTTTTTTACGTTCTCGTATAAAGATAATAGAGAACATAAAAAGGTACTCGAATTATAGGCTTTTGAGAAGCGGAAGTGGAGTAAATATTGTTATATAATAATATACTAAAAAGTTATGGGGTTATGAAATAAGTGCCCTGATTAAGCATTAATACATTTGAAAAGTAATCTTGCTTTGTTCTTTGTACACAAAAACCTGGATGAGTTAATTCTAGAAACAACACGTTTACACGTCAGAATACAAGTTTTTACAGCGACTAATTAATAAGTGTCATTTAATCCACTCAAATATATGGTAACTAGTGTAAAAGCGCAAGGCTAAATGAAAAACAGGTGTTCAATGTCTCTCTAAAGCAGATGTTTGTCTCCACCAATATTAATCTTCATCTTCATCCGAGCACCATTGATATATTTTCAAACTACATTTTTTTGTTTTTATTTTCCAAAGAGGTGTTCTGCAACAACGACCAGACGGACTGTGGCCCAGGCTACCACACGTTGATCAATGGACGGTGTCGCTGTGTCTGTCCGGATGAGTTGGATTACAACACCAATTGTACGACACACATTGATGGACGTGAGTGATATTTTTTTTTTAATTTACACCTGATTTGTTCTTTTAATTGTTTGTAAAGCTACGGGTCTTGCCAATATAAGTTACATCTAAAGATGCTTCTGGTTTAAGCAGCTATAAATCCTACAAAATATAATTTGGTGTCATCCTCAATGACGTCATAATTTTTTAACGATCTAAATCTCCCCCCTTCCGGAATAAAGCCGGAACCCCACATAAAACCGGAACCCCACCCCTAAACTGACGTCACACCTAAACCTTCTATATTTCAGTATTTTTTAAAAACCGATTTCTTAAGAAAAAATATCTGAGTTCGTAAGCTCGGTCAGTATGGAGTGTATTAATCAATTTGTGATATCAAAAAAAATAAACCGGGAGTGATCTCCCCTAAACTTTCTCGAATATTCTTATATAAAATAACAGGGGATGGGAACTCGGGCTATAGACATGATTTTTAATCCATTTTAAATACTTAAAGATTTTAAAAATAGAATAAAATCTCGTAGACAAATTAATTGCACACCAAGTGAACGCCCAATAAAAAAGCGCATAATAGTGCGCAATATTATTAGTACTTTTAAAATTTACATTAGTTTTTTGAGAAATCGGAAGTAGCGTAAATTACTACTTCCAGTCAACGGAAATTACTCAAAATTTAACAGAAGGTAGAGAATTAGATCTTTTACTTACATGTGAAATTTCATTTATCTATCTGAAATAGTACTCAAGTTATAGGCTTTTGAAAAATTCAAAGTAGGAAAAGTACCACTTCCGGTTATCGGAAATCGCTCAAAAGTTGATAAGGATCTACGATTTTGATAAAATACTTATATATGAAATTTCATCAACCTAGCTGTAACGGTACTCAAGTTATCGTGTTTACACACGGACACACAGACACACAGACACACAGACACACACACACACAGACATACGGACAAGATTGCAAAATTATGTTTTTCCGTATCAGTGAGGTGTAAAACGTCGAGATCTGTAAAAATCTCGATATTTTTTTTTTGCACGATTACAATACTTTCTCTATACTTCGTATATACGAGAAAGTAAAAAGAATCGAAAGTGCCCTTTTTACTTTCTCGTATATACGAAGTATAGAGAAAGTCTTGTAATCGTGCAAAAAAAAAAATCGAGATTTTTACAAATCTCGACGTTTCACACCTCACTGATACGGAAAAACATAATTTTGCAATCTTGTCCGTATGTCTGTGTGTCTGTCTGTGTGTCTGTGTGTCTGTGTGTCTGTCTGTCCGTGTGTAAACACGATAACTTGAGTACCGTTACAGCTAGGTTGATGAAATTTCATATATAAGTATTTAATCAAAATCGTAGATCCGTATCAACTTTTGAGCGATTTCCGATAACCGGAAGTGGTACTTTTCCTACTTTGAATTTTTCAAAAGCCTATAACTTGAGTACTATTTCAGATAGATAAATGACATTTCATATGTAAGTAAAAGATCTAATTCTCTACCTTCTATTAAATTTTGAGCCATTTCCGTTGACTGGAAGTAGTACTTTACGCTACTTCCAATTTCTCAAAAAACTAATGTAAATTTTAAAAGTAATAAAAATATTGCGCACCATTATGCGCTTTTTTATTTGGCGTTCACTTGGTGTGCAATTAATTTGTCTACGAGATTTTATTCTATTTTTAAAACTTTAAGTATTTACTAGAATACCCGTCATCCGTTGGATAACTGTGGGTTTCGGGGGTCATCCATCAAAAAACATCACGTCTGTCACTCAGAGGCATAGCGACCCTTCCCGGCGCCCGGGGACAAAGTTTTCGATTTGACCCCCCCCCCCTCAAACTTTTGATGTGCACCCCCCCCCCCCCACTCAAACTTTCGATTTGAACCCCCCTCAACCTATCAATTTATTTTTCCAAACCATTTTGGCGCCCCAACATATGCACCCCCCCCCTTCCCCCTCCCCCCCCGCCTCCCCTTCCCCCCTTCCCCCCCCCCACCCCCCCGCCTCCCCTTCCCCCCCCCCCCCCCCACCCCCCGCCTCCCCTCCCCTACCGTCCCCCCCCCTCCTCGGTACGCTACTGCAGTGTCACTTATCGTCACAAAAAACAGACCCCACATTCAAATATATGTTTTTTATCTTTTAAAAACACCGAAAACACCGATTTCGGACTATCCCTTCATAAACTGACGTCACAGGTGACCTACTCAACTCTACTTCACCTGCCCAGTGTCCTGCCAAGTCTCAGACAACATGTTTTTATCGTTTAAAAAACAATTCCAGCCGAGCATGTATCTGACCACACTATCCTTTCATATGCTTAGGACAAAGAAACAGATGAACTCTACTTCACCTGCCCTGTATCTTGCCAAGTTCAGATAGGCAACGTTATCATTCACATCTAAAAAAAAAAAATTGAAAAAAAAAATTTCATTGACATATTGGTCTAGAACCCGTGCCTCCTGCATGAGAGCTGACTACGCTACCATTTTAGCTATTTACTCGTGACGTCACAAGTGAATTTTTATACTATACTATGTGTCTCCTTATGCAACTTGATTTACGCGTATAGATTCTAGATCTAGATCTAAAAATAAGTCTAGTAGTACTAACTTTCAAATTAAATTTTATCTTAAATAAGCCAAACAAAGATTTATATAAAATAATTAAGGCCTGAAATAGATTCTAGATCTAGAATTTACATTGAATATAGTGACCTACATCTAGGCTAGATCTAGATCTAGATCTAGGCTAGATTCATAAATAAATTTCCTTCGATAGCTGATCTTTAGATCTAGAGAAATTTATCGTAAAACTAAATGAAAAAGACAGTTGAAAATTGATATAAGTGTTGGAACGTAATAAATACAGCAAACGGACGTATTGTTTAAGTTATAGCCGGCAGAAAATTAGCTTTGTAACGCGTTAAACTTTTGAATGGGCCACAAAGTCTATGATGAAGTCCGCCATTTTTATCGTACCAAAAAGTTAACATATCAAGGGACGTCACTATCCCCACAAAGTTTATTCAAAGTATTAACATTTTTTAAAAAATACGGTTAATTTAACAATGAATAAATCAATAAATTAATTAACGTCTTTAAATAAATTTGTGATTAACAGTCTGTCTGCATTAAAAAATTATTCTCTACCTACATACTATTTTACAGCTATCCAGATTGAGTCGAACATATCACAATAGTTGATCAGGCAAACAAACAAACAAACAAAAAAACAAACAAAAAAATAAATATTCAAACATGTAAACAAACTTGACTTTTAGTAGTATATAGAAAATGGATTAAAAATCATGTCTATAGCCCGAGTTCCCATCCCCTGTTATTTTATATAAGAATATTCGAGAAAGTTTAGGGGAGATCACTCCCGGTTTATTACTTTCTCGTATATACGTAGTATAGAGAAAGTATTGTAATCGTGCAAAAAAAAAAATCGAGATTTTTACAAATCTCGACGTTTTACACCTCACTGATACGGAAAAACATAATTTTGCAATCTTGTCCGTATGTCTGTGTGTGTGTGTGTCTGTGTGTCTGTGTGTCTGTGTGTCCGTGTGTAAACACGATAACTTGAGTACCGTTACAGCTAGGTTGATGAAATTTCATATATAAGTATTTTATCAAAATCGTAGATCCGTATCAACTTTTGAGCGATTTCCGATAACCGGAAGTGGTACTTTTCCTACTTTGAATTTTTCAAAAGCCTATAACTTGAGTACTATTTCAGGTAGATAAATGAAATTTCACATGTAAGTAAAAGATCTAATTCTCTACCTTCTGTTAAATTTTGAGTAATTTCCGTTGACTGGAAGTAGTAATTTACGCTACTTCCGATTTCTCAAAAAACTAATGTAAATTTTTAAAGTACTAATAATATTGCGCACTATTATACGCGTTTTTATTCGGCGTTTGCTTGGTGCGCAATGTTTTTTTTATGAGATTCTATTCTATTTTTAAAAGTTTAAGTATTTAAAATGGATTAAAAATCATAACTATATCCCCAGTTACCATCCCCCGTTGTTTTATATAAGAATATTCGAGAAAGTTTAGGGGAGATCACTACCGGTTTATTTTTTACTTTCTCGTATATACGTAGTATAGAGAAAGTATTGTAATCGTGCAAAAAAAAAATCGAGATTTTTACAAATCTCGACGTTTTACACCTCACTGATACGGAAAAACATAATTTTGCAATCTTGTCCGTATGTCTGTGTGTGTGTGTGTGTCTGTGTGTGTGTCTGTCCGTGTGTAAACACGATAACTTGAGTACCGTTACAGCTAGGTTGATGAAATTTCATATATATAAGTATTTTATCAAAATCGTAGATCCGTATCAACTTTTGAGCGATTTCCGATAACCGGAAGTGGTACTTTTTCTACTTTGAATTTTCCAAAAGCCTATAACTTGAGTACTATTTCAGATAGATAAATGAAGTTTGATATGTAAGTAAAAGATCTAATTCTCTACCTTCTGTCAAATTTTGAGTAATTTCCGTAGACAGGAAGCACTTATTTACGCTATTTCCGATTTCTCAAAAAACGCATGTAAATTTATAAAGTACTAATAATATTGCGCACTATTATGCGCTTTTTTTAATTTGCGTTCACTTGGTGTGCAATTAATTTGTCTACGAGATTTTATTCTATTTTTAAAACTTTAAGTATTTAAAATGGATTAAAAATCATGTCTATAGCCCGAGTTTCCATCCCCTGTTATTTTATATAAGAATATTCGAGAAAGTTTAGGGGAGATCACTCCCGGTTTATTTTTATACATCATTGTTTAAAAATGCAAAAGTACGTTGTTTAACACTTTCAGATTTCTGAACCTCCCCCCCCCCCCCCCACCATCATTTATCACTCATTGTATCGTTAGGTGATTGACTTTGTTCATGTGGGACCCATTTACCCCTACGGATTCCGTTGATCTAGTTTAACATGATAATATACGTATGACGTGTACACACAATACATGTTTTTTTATTGACAGCCACAAAAAACATTTCCTGGCCCGACACGCACATGATCTTGTACGGCAGCGACACCTGCCCAACGGGATTCGATCCCACTCCGGCGACGTTACCACTGTCTGGGAACTGGGGCGCTGTCCAGGTGCCGGTGCCGCAGCCGTACAGAATAGACGGCAACACCATGTACGTCCATCTGTGTAAAAAGTCGACGCCAGCGAACACTAGAGACGTTAACTGGAAATCTTGGCCCAGGGGAGGCGATTACTGTTTTGTCAAACCACTGGGAGAAGAATGTGGGGGAGGTAACTCTAAATTATGTTGTATTTTAATTTAACTCGTATTAAATTAAAATAAAAACAACATTTACGTGTATGTGTTTATGTGCCATTTATATTTTTAAAAAAAATCTTTCTATAGCTATTCTGAATAACATTTTCTTAAAAATTTGGAACATTATATAAAATTCTAACTAATAATTTAACACCTCATAAAATATAATTTAAAAAAACAATAAGCTTGTTGATAGTAAACTTTATTGAATTCAAAATCGATCATGATGTTGTACTTATAATAAAATAAAGAAAAAAATTACTATACTTGGATTAATTTCAACATTAATTATTCCTAATGTCCATATGGAGAATAGTGCATCTACCGTTAACCCACACTATGTCCAGTACCTGGTTGTGTTTTGACTTCTCTTATGATATCCCATTAGTCATTGTTCGTCCAGAACACTCTACACCCAGATCCTTCGCCCCCCCCCCCCCGCCCCCTCCCCCCACTCCAAGTCTGCTCCAATCACGCGCTTGACATGTCAAGATTGAACGGGTCTTTTCCTGTCCTCTATTTGGCAGATATTCATCCGTTCTTAGTTCTTCAAGAAGACTCTATATCTAAACCACAACCCACCTAATTCACCCCCCCCCCCCTCCTTCTCGAGTTTTCCACTCAAACGCATGCAAAGTCAAGATTCAACGCGTCTATTCCAGCATACATTCAAACGTTAGTCATGATTCAACGCGTCTATTCCAGCATACATTCAAACGTTAGTCATGATTCAACGCGTCTATTCCAGCACACATTCAAACGTTAGTCATGATTCAACGCGTCTATTTCAGCATAGATTCAAACGTTAGTCATGATTCAACGCGTCTATTCCAGCATACATTCAAACGTTAGTCATGATCAGTGTTTCCTCCAGACTTTTTTTCTCCTGGGGGGGCGCTTGAAATTTTCGGAGGGGGGGGGGGGCGGTATACTTTCTTCGGGCGGGGGGGGATGGACACTGTTAAAAGTATATATTTTCTATATAAATTATATAAATTTCATTTTATCGGGGGGGGGGGGGGGGGGGCAAAGAGATGCCCCCCCCCCCCCCCCCCGCAGAGATGCCTGTAAGAAACTCTGGTCATGATTCAACGCGTCTATTCCAGCATAGATTCAAACGTTATCTTTCGTATTTCTTCTTCTTTTTTTAGTTTTCCAAGATGGCGGGATAGAGTTTCAGACACGAACTGAGAGTCACCCCAGTGGTGACATCGGCAACATCAGCATCAGCGGCAGGATGGTGACCATCAACTACTGCTGCAAGAACAAGGAGAACTACGCCCTAGTGACGGACCTGCCCAACGCCGAGCCGTTTAAGTTGGTGGCAAGATATCACAAGTGTCCTAACGTGAGAGGTAGGGGACGTCTCATTTAGTCACGTGATGATCTATTTGATAACTGAATGGTTGAGGCATTTGCTGTCTCAAGTGATAATCTCTTTAATATGTGAATGATAGAGGCATGTGCCGACTTTTTTAGTCACGTGATAATCACTTTAATAACTGAATGTTAGAGGTACTTACCATCTCTATTCCCAACACGGTAATACTAATAACCTCTGGCTAGTGGGATGTTCCATCTGTTCTAGTCACGTGATAATCCCTAAACTAACCGAAGGCTATATATATATATATATATATATATATATATATATATATATATATATATATATATATATATATATATATATATATATGATATTTGATAGGATGTCTTGTACATATATTTCTATGTGTTAAATAAGAATTTAGGAAAACGTTAAGGGGAGATAACTCCCGCTTCATGGTCTTATCAGGTTTGTTGCAATTTACAATTAAATAACAAAGAAGTAGCTAATGAAAGGATGTCTGTTCTTTATAGCTGATGACATTTTTTACATGATTACAATCAATATTGACTTAATACTGACCACAAGACATTTAACATGGAGCATGATTATGCTATTATTATGTGCGATTTTTTTCTTCTACATGAGGGAACTAAATTCTTTTTAATCTAAGGCACGTAACTCCGCAGGTATGAAGAGCACCTACTCTAAGTTCACATTTTGGACGGAATCTTCCAGAAAGTTTGGAGAGTTGCCGCCCTTGAGTTTCTTCTACCAGACGTCTTTCCTTCATTATCAGTGCCACTACCAGCCTCCAGTTTATGGTGAGTACAAACTGTAGTACACTGTAGTACATCATTTAAAGTACCATAAAGTACAAAATATAGTACACTCTAGTACACCATTAAAGTGCCCTAAAGTACAAACTATAGTACACTGTAGTACAACATTAAAAGTACCCTAAAGTACAAACTATAGTACACTGTAGTACAACATTAAAAGTACTCCTAAAATACAACATTAAAAGTATTACTTTAGTAAAACACTTAAAGTAACACTATAGTATAGTTACAACACTAAAAGTAAGACCTGTAGTACAACTTAAAAAGCAATACTATAGTACCATTAAATTAACACAATAGTGACAATATATTACAACACTAAAAGTAACACTATGCGACCAACGACATTATCACAATATAGACCATATAGTACTTTTACAACTCCACTTTTGTGAAACTGCAGTATCACGGTAGTTTTACTGTAAAACAACACTGAAAGTAACACAATAGCACACCTACATCAGCACAATATTGCAACTACAATACTATTACAGTACCGATATTGCGCCACAACTTAGTACAACTACAGTACTACTGCCACTAAAGTACATTATTCATTATTAAAAATACTATAGTGCAAGTATAGATATACTACTCGTGATTCGAACTGGAGACTTTCGGGTTAGCATTCGAATTCTCTACCTCTGACCACGCCGTCCATCACACAACTGTTATAACGTGTGTTAAATCTCTCCATCAACAGGCTGTAGTCGTATGATAACACTCACTCCAACAAACCGATCTGTCACGGTCACAACGCCTGGGTTCGAAACACAACGGGAACCAGACAGAAGATGTTTCTACAGTTTTAACGTAAGACATTGTATTTTAGAAATTTGGAATTTTTCTTATTTAACAATTACTTCTTACAGCTCTTAAAAGTATTTGTAACTTTTCTTCCGTTATTATCAATTTATATTAACGGTGTTGTCGACTTGATAGAGAGTATCTATCTATCTATATAATTCTCTTCTGGGAGCCGTTAGAAAACAAGCTGCAAGCGCGCGCCTTGCAGTCCCCTCTTTTCCTCTCTATCGCTACCACCCCCCACCCCCACCCCCTCCTCACATGGTCAGGTGAGTTGTAGTTCACGATAAATGTTTAGTTTGATGACGGCTATTAGGGGCAGATAATTCAGTTTGAAACTATTTTAAACTTAGAGGAGGTAACTAAGAGGAGGCTACTTTCACGGGGGGGGGGGGGGGGGGGGAAGAAGGGGGTTTATAGTTTTAAAGCAAATATTTTCAGTGGCAGCATTGGTACTGTCGAATTCACAAATTATGAATTACTGAAAAGTAGAAACAACAACTAAATAGCGGCGTATGATACACCGCGGGTTGGCTCGTATATATAATTCTCTTCTGGGAGCCGTTAGAAAACAAGCTGCAAGCGCCTCCTTGCAGTCCCCGCTCTTTCTCTCTATCACTACCACCCCCACCCCACCCCCACATTGTCTGGTGAGCGGTGTTCACTCTAAATGTTTACAAAGCTAAATGTTTCAAATCGTAGAGCCGTAGAGCCGGGTTTCTATTAGGGGCAGATAATTTAGTTCGATTTTAAACTTACAGGAGGTAACTAAGAAATAACTAAGAGGAGGCTGCTTTCACGGGGGGGGGGGGGGGGCGGGGTGTAGGGTCGGGGTGAGGGGAAAGCGGGGGGGGTAGTGATTTAAAGCAAATATTTTCAGTGGCAGCATTGGTACTGTCGAATTCACAAATTACGAATTGCTGAAAAGTAGAAAATAAAACAACTAAATAGCGGCGTATGATACGCCGCGGGTCGGCTCGTGTTTACTATTTGTGGAGTTCAGTTCACGAACAGCTGCTAAATTTCTCGGCTCAGGTGAGGCCAGGTTCTACATTCTAAATATACCTGAGGAATCAGCTGTAATGTAGGGGACGGCGTGGTCGAGTCGGTAAAGCTCATGGTTGCTAAACTGAAATGTCTCGACAACTCCAAAATCAAACAACTACGGCCTTGTAGTTTGTTCTTGTTTGGACAAAGGCTATGGAAGCAAATCCAAAAAGAAAAGCAGGCTGAAATCGGAGTCAATGGCCTCAATGGCGAATAACCAGTTGACACGTATCCTTAATTGTGATGGAGGCGTGGTCGAGTCGGCAAAAAGCCAATAAATTCGAAAGTTTCGAGTTCAAAATAAGGCTCGATAGGGTATTACTATCGTCACAATTATACCCATGAGTTATCCAATTCTATATTCAGCACTATGCTCAGCCAGCTTTACTTTCCCTCAGGGACGGTCTACTAACTTTAACCCGGATTCGAACTTGAGACTGACGGGTTAGCAGTCCAGCTCTCTACCGCTAGACCGCTCCGTCTCGTCCTCACATAGATACACATGAGTTATCCAGCTCTAATGAGCAACACACTGCACTACATTTCGGTTAATTTAAACACGACTTAGTTTTTCTTTTGAATTAGTTGCAATAATCGAATAACAACAAGACAAGATTTAAGTCTTTGAAAACTAAATTTTGTGTTCAGAAATATGTGTTAGATATACCTACAGTAAGGTGTTCTCGGTGACACAGGTACCAGCAAAATCCAAACTGAGGCTGACCTTGAACAAGTTTGACCTTCACGAGAACGACGATTTTCTGATTAAACGTTTTCACAAGTGGCAGGACCCGTACAGGTAAGTTCTAGGTGACGTGTCAACATAGATGGGACCGTACAGGTAATTTCTAGGTCACCTGTAAATATAGATGGGACCGTACAGGTAAGTTCTAGGTGACGTGTCAACATAGATGGGACCGTACAGGTAATTTCTAGGTCACCTGTAAATATAGATGGGACCGTACAGGTAAGTTCTAGGTGACGTGTCAACATAGATGGGACCGTACAGGTAATTTCTAGGTCATCTGTAAATATAGATGGGACCGTACAGGTAAGTTCTAGGTGACGTGTCAACATAGATGAGACCCATACAGGTAAGTTCTAGGTGACGTGTCAACATAGATGAGACCCATACAGGTAAGTTCTAGGTGACGTGTCAACATAGATGAGACCCCTACAGGTAAGTTCTAGGTGACGTGTCAACATAGATGAGACCAATACAGGTAAGTTCTAGGTGACGTGTCAACATAGATGAGACCCCTACAGGTAAATTCTAGATCACGTGTTTAACACTGCTAGGACCCGTACAGCCTAGGCGTATACACGTTTTTGGGTTAGGGGTGATCCATAAATGACGTCACGCTTTTTTTGACGATTTTTACCTCCCCCCTCCCCTCCGTTACACGTCGTCACAAAAACGCCAGACGTCGCACCATCTGAACCCCCCCCCCTCTCCCTCATCACACATCATCACAAAATTACCGACCCCCCCCCCCACCCCCGACCCCCTTCGAGTGTGACGTCTTTTATGGACGACCCTTTAGGGGGAGCGGCGAGTTTAGAAAAAGGCACCCTATATATATCTATAATATAACGCTGCTGGTAGTGTGTCAGTCATTCCTTCCGTCATCGCTATAGATTTTGGAACCATAAAAGTAAACATTCGCACCATGCTGTGCTTTTCAGTGCACCGCAGTGTCTTATTATAAGTATTAGAGTAGGGTTTGTTTATATAGCGGCATAGAGCTATTTTATAATTGCCACGGTTTTTACTCTTTCGCATAACGTCAAGAAAATATTAAATACACGCAAACTGCTAAAACGTATTAAAAAGATTAATTTCAAATATCATTTTCGTTAAGGTTCCCAGAAAAAGTGGATACATTTTAATAAGATAATAACAGTACGGTAGAAAAATCAAATTAATTTAACTCTTTTCTAATTTTGACAAAGGAGGTAATTTAAAAATACATTAAACTCACACTAATAAAAAATGTAAATGCAAATATACGTTCGTCATAGAAGGAATTAGTGTTGCAATAATATAATTAGCAAAATGTGAATGCAAATTATTCGGATGTGTAAGAGGAAAATATTGTTAGAAAATTATAATTAGCATGGATTGATAAAAGGCAATCTTTTATTTATTTTATTCACTGAATGTAGGCCCTACCGTTTATTACTTATAATTTTTAATCAACTATTCAGCACTATTATAGACGCGTCATCACGTTCATTAGGTGTGCAATGGTTTGTTATGAAACTCTTTTGTAAATTTTTAAAATTTAAAGTACTGGAAAAAAATGCGTGAATGGATAAAGTGAAATAGTGTAGGTAAAACACGGTATTTTAAATACTGCCTATTATTTATACTGTTTTCTAATTATTATTCTATCTTTCGGGTTTTATAGGAGAGGCGTAGCGAGGGAGGGGGGGGGGGGGCATATGTCCCCGGGTGCCGACCTTAAGGGGCGCCAAAGTGGGTTGGAAAAAATTTGCGAGGGGGGGGGGGGTGGAAATCGAAAGTTTTAGGGCGGGGGGTGGAAGGGGTGCAAATCGAAAGTTTGAGGGGGTTGCAAATCACCGGAAAGGGCGCGATTTGGCGCTACGGGCTAAACTGTGAGCAATTTGCCTTTATGATTGCATTTAAATTGTGTTTATGTTATGAGTGTTGTGTTTGTTTTTTCGTTGTTTTTTTTGCGTTCGTTTGTGTTGTGTTTAGTTTTGTTCTGTTCCCAAGTTGGTACATTTAAAAAAGATTTACCGTGGCGGAGCACGGGATGCAGCTAGTCTATAATATAAGCGGGCTGAGCGTGCGTCAGTCCTTCCTTCTGTCATCGCTATAGATTTTGAAACCATAAAAGTAAACTACGCACCACGCTGTGCTTTTCAGTGCACCGCAGTGTCTTATTATAAGTAATAGAGTAGGGTTTGTTTATACAACGGCATAGAGCTATTTTATAATTTCCACTGTTTGTACAATTTTGCATAACGTAAAGAGAATATTAAATACACGCACATTGCTAAAACATATTAAAATGATCAATGTCAAATATCGTTTTCGTTAATATTCCCAGAAAAAGTGGATACATATTAATAACATAATAACAGTACGGTAGAAAAATCTAATTAAACTGCTTAGTAATTTTGCCAATGGAGGTAATTCAAAGATAAATTGAACTCACGCTAAAAATGTGAATGCAAAATCTGCAAGACGGAATAATTGTTGGAATAATATAATTAGCAAAATGTGAATGCAAATTATGCAGACGTGTAAGAGTACATTATTGTTGGAAAATTATTATTAGCATTGATTGATAAAAGGCTATCTTTTATTTATTTTATTCACTGAATGTACTGTTTACTAATTATAATTTTTAATCAACTATTCTCCATTACTATATTAAGTCATCACGTTCATTAGGTGCGCAATGGTTTTAGTCATGAAACTTTATTGTAAATTTTTAAAAGTACTGAAAAAAATGCATGAATTTATAAAGTGCAATATGGTCGGTAAAACACGGATATTCTAAATACTGCCTTTAATTTATTTGCGGAAAAGCTAGGGGTTTTATAACAGAGGCGTAGCAAGAGGGGGGGGGGGGGGGGGAGGGTGGAAATCGAAAGTTTGAGGGAGGTGGGAGGGTGTAAATCGAAATTTTCCGCCGGCGCTCGGAAAGGGCGCGATTTGGCGCTACGGGATAGACTGTGAGCAATATGCTTTTATGATTACATTTAAATTGAGTTTATGTTGAGTGTTGTGTTTGTTTTTTCGTTTTTGTTTTTTCTTTGCGTTCGTTTGTGTTGTATTTAGTTTTGTTCTGTTCCCAACTTGGTACATTTAAAAAAGATTTACCGTGTGTTGTGGTTGTGGTTGTGGTTGTGTTGTGGTTGTGTTGTGGTTGTGTTGTGGTTGTGTTGTGGTTGTGTTGTGGTTGTGTTGTGGTTGTGTTGTGGTTGTGTTGTGGTTGTGTTGTGGTTGTGTTGTGGTTGTGTTGTGGTTGTGTTGTGATTGTGTTGTGGTTGTAATGTGGTTGTGTTGTGGTTGTGTTTTGTTTGTGTTTGTGTTTGTGTTGTGTTTTTGTTTGTTTTGTTCTGTTCCAAAGTTGGTATATTTCAAAAAGATTTACCGTGGCGGAGCACGGGATGCAGCTAGTATATATATATATATATACACTACAACAAAGAACAATTCACGCAACACAATCTGTTTTGTAAACCTTGTAAAAAAAACATCTAACACAGTAGGATATTTATAAGACAAGAGAATTAAAGTAAGGGAAATAATCATTCTCTTAATATAGATATGTAAAGACATACACGATTGATTGTCTGTCAAAATGAACGAGATCAATAATTTTTTTTATTATTTAACATATTTTATTGTTATTCGTTTTTATAAAACATATGCTGCATACGATCAGAATTATTTATATTTTTTTTATAAATGCTAAAACCATACACAATAAACAAAGTTTGTAAATGAGCATATTATATAAAATCGTTAGATTTTCGTTTTACTTGGAACAATAGGTCAGTTCATTGTCTACAGTAAATGTTTAAAACAATTGAATTAATAAAAATAAAAAAAATAAAAAAAATCTACCCCCTCCTCTCTCCCCCTCTATCCACTTTACCCTCAGACATGATAACCCCACAATCCCTTTAACTGTTCCAACGACCTCACCACCCACCGCAACATCAATATCCAGAACTTATTTAAAGTTCTAAATCTTGTCTCTTTCCCCTCATCTTTCACACTGCAACCTTTTGAAAACTCAATGCGACCACTACAAAACCCTTTCAACTAGTCAACTTAAGTTGTTTCCCTACATAGAAAATGCTTCACTGTCCCATTGACCCTCTCTGAAAAATTTCCTTTCCTCTCCCCACCCAGACTTCTGACACTTTCATTTGACCTTCACCCCTTTTACTGTCATCCTTTGCAATTTGTTTTTATAATCAAATACATGACATCATGTAAATATTCATTATGTACATTTGCAAAACCTTTCGTTTTCATTTGGTGTTCAAAATTATGTTAAAAAATTTGATGTTGATGTACTTGTTTTAATTGCAAATAAAAGTATTTAAAAAAAAAACAAAAAAAAAAAAAACATAAAATAAAAAAAAAAAATTTTAACAGGGCATATATAACACTCATTCCCAAAAATGATACGGACAGGACAAAAATTATAAATTACAGACCTATATCTTTACTTAACAGTGATGATAAAATATTGACAAAAACTTTAGTTAAGAAACTCGAACCCTTCATATCTAAATTATACACCCCGATCAGCAGTATAGCATACCAGGTAGAAACATACACAACCACACGCACTTAATCAGAGACATCATACATTATAGCACGCAGAAAGACACACAACTAGCGATTCTTAGCATCGACCAACAGAAAGCGTTCGACAGAGTAGATCATACATGGTTAATAAAAACAAGTTCCTTAATTATTGAATTTGCATTGAAAGTTATTAATCCTTTTTATTAGCTACAGCTATTTGTGTTCATTAAAGAATGTTTTTTAACATAACTGAAATGTATGGGTTTGATTACTTTATTGCTAATGCACATCTTTACTATGATTCACTCAGTTTGACCGGTTATGATCCTGTGTAAAATAAACAACTATAGTTGGAGGCAATTATACTCTTTTCCACAGTGTTTTTATATTGTTTTAACTAAATTTACACGATATATTAAAGTATATGTTAGTTAATTACATATATCCGTGCCGATAGTCTTGACCCATACTAACGTTCTTGAAGATGTGTGAGAATGTTTATTTTCCTGTACATTTATTCAGCTTCCTCCCTATTACCACCCCCCCCCCCCCTTCCCACATATATTTGCATTGAGTTTTTAACACCATTCATCTAAAAATTTTTTTCATAAAAACGTTTTAATAACAAGCTTTTATGTAATGGATAGAACTGCCTACTAATTCAGTCCAAATTTTAATTAATTCATAAAAAAATAAGTTAGGCAACCAATTAAGTCAAATTGAATGTCACGATGCATTGTCTTCATGTCTTGACACACCAACTACAAACCGTAACTGTCAGTTAGAAGTGCCTGCAATTTCGCTCGGGTGTTTCGATCTAGACAGACTGACGACTGACGGCAGATTGTCAACAGAGGAAGTGAGTTAAATAAAAGCTTGTAAAAATGTGTGCATCAGTATAAGGTGCCTTTTTGGAATTTTTTTTAGATCAGCTGACAGTAAGGGGCCTGCAGTTTCCTTTCCTGCTAATACTAACATAGCAAAGATAATCGTATTCTACGGGGTACACTTTGTGTAAGCAATAACCCAAAGATAATAGGCCTACCCGTAGTTCTATCGTCCGCATTGAAAAAATCCAATAGTTTGTCTTTATCTCTGCCGAATCCTTAAGACTGACTCGCCGAACTCCATCGATTCGATCGAACCCAGGTTAAACACCCCTGGTCTAAATATTATCTTCGCTAGCGTAAAATTAAACGAATCTATCTTTACACCACAAACAGGATCGTCAGTGACGACCGACCTTATCAGCTGGTGAGTGAGGGCAACTACATGTCCCTACAGTACTGGGCATCATGGGAGAGAACCAGCAACAAGGGAGTGAATTTCACGGTTGATATTGTATTAGGTAAATGGGCTTTTTATATTAAGAAAATGTTATTTTTTACCTGTTAGATATGTATATTAGTATTTGTATATTAATTATTGTAATATGTGAAGTGGTATTATACTTTGTTAATTTGTTGATAATACAATAGATAAAATGATTGGTAATTGGTAATACGTGAATGATTTAAATTTATAAAATTTAAAATTAGACCTATTAAAAATTGATTTGTAACGAGAATATTTTCTATTTCTGTCTTAAATGTATTTCACATTGCAGACGAGGAGATGTGTTACGATGTGGCGTCAAAAGGGGCAGACTACTACGGTGAGAAATCTGTTACAGAAACTTTTGAGCCTTGCGTCCCTTGGGAGAAAGCCACATCTTGTGATGACTTCCCCTTTGATGGGTAAATCTAAAATATCATTCATATCGCTAATGTTTCAAAACTGTTAAACGACTTTTCTGATGCCTATGACATTTATACTTGATTGGATTGTATGCCATTAAGCAAATGTTAATTCCTTTATGTTCGCACAACCTAACTATATAACGATGATATACAGCCACGAAATTCATAGATCATCAGAACAGTATGTAGGTCTATCTGTCTATTTACCCAGCACACAAACATTATCATTTTCTTTTTGTGCCCAAGACACATTGGGCCGCAACACACAAACATGCTCTCTTATAGAACCAAAACAACACAACACAAAAAATAAAATACTTAAAAAAACTTTTTAAAAAACCACGTTTTTCTTGTGGACTAAAAAGTAGAAAATAAATTTTCATACATTTAATGACAAAAAACGTGGGTACGTTCACCATCAAATTTCCCGACCCATCTGCCCGACCCACGTTTTTTGTCATCAAATGTATGAAAATTTATTTTCTACTTTTTAGTCCACAAGAAAAACGTGGTTTTTTTTAAAGTTTTTTTTAAGTATTTTATTTTCTCCTTTTTAGTCCGTTGCTACACATGAAAAACGTGGTTTTTAAAAAAGTTTATGATATAGTTTATTTTCTACTTTATCTAATGACTTGATTAAGTATGACTTGACTAAGTGTTTATAAATACACGGACTAAAAATCTTGAGCGACCAGGATTCGAACCTGGGTTGTCGCGGCCACAACGCGAAGTACTAACCGCTATACGATCACGGCCAGCGCGCTCACATCGATTGGGGCAGAAGTAAATTTGTCAATAGGCCTCCAGTCTTGTCGGTATCTTTAGAAGTCATGTCCTCAATTTTATGATCCTTGGGGCGTAATTAAATTAAGCTAATTACGGTCTCTAATTGCTAGTTTTTATGATTGCATCTGAAATTGTAAGCCGAAAGTAGCCTACATGCCAAATTTCAGATCTCTAGAGCAATCAGAAGTGGGCTAATTTTCGATGTCAATTTTAACAACAAACATCCAAACAAACAAACAAACGCGAAGCTGAGTTAAGAATAAAATACTTAAAAAAAACTTTTTAAAAAACCACGTTTTTCTTGTGGACTAAAAAGTAGAAAATAACTATTTACATACATTTGATGACAAAAAACGTGGGTACGTTCACCATCAAATTTCCCGACCCATCTGCCCGACCCACGTTTTTTGTCATCAAATGTATGTAAATAGTTATTTTCTACTTTTTAGTCCACAAGAAAAACGTGGTTTTTTAAAAAGTTTTTTTTAAGTATTTTATTTTCTCCTTTTTAGTCCGTTGCTACACATGAAAAACGTGGTTTTTAAAAAGTTTTTTATATAGTTTATTTTCTACTTTATCTAATCACTTGATTAAGTATGACTTGACTAAGTGTTTTTAAATACACGGACTAAAAAAATCTTGAGCGACCGATACGCTTTAAACAGAGAAAGGGTGTAATTTCTACTCACGAATCACGTGATCAAATCTCCCATAAACAAACAAATAAACGCGAAGCTGAGTTAAGGAAAAACGTGTTTATGTGTATTTTAGCATGCCCAGCGTACCAACCGTGTCACCGTTAACAATGTGTTACCGTGTCCGTTCTCCTTTTTAGTCCGTTGCTACACATGAAAAACGTGGTTTTTAAAAAAATGTTTATAAATACACGGACTAAAAATCTTGAGCGACCAGGATTCGAACCTGGGTTGTCGCGGCCACAACGCGAAGTACTAACCACTATACGATCACGGCCAGCGCGCTCACATCGATTGGGGCCGAAGTAACTGTGTCAATAGGCTTCAAGTCTTGTCGGTATCTTTAGAAATCATGTCCTCAATTTTATGGTCCTTGGGGCGTAATTAAATTAAGCTAATTACGGTCACTAATTGCTAGTTTTTATGATTGCATCTGAAATTGTTAGGCGAAAGTAGCATGCATGCCAAATTTCAGGTCTGTAGAGCAATCAGAAGTGGGCTAATTTTCGATGTCAATTTTAACAACAAACATCCAAACAAACAAACGCGAAGCTGAGTTAAGAAAAACGTTTTAAAAACGTGTTAATAATAATAAACAATTTTCAGATTAAACGGTATTTCCCTGTTAGAAAGCGGAAGTAGCTGTAGAAATCCCGGCGGGTCTCTCCTTCAGCCTTGGTGTTATACTTTTGTCAGGGGCAGCGTTTGTCATAGACGGTACTGTGACGTCTGCAATATACGTAAGCATTTTCGTACAGATAAAATTATATACATTAATCTTTTTACCTGGAAATATTTTTACACTTCACTGAATAGAAATCATGTACTTTTAAATATTTTTTTGTCTCAATAAAGAATGCAAGAATTTAATAGTAGGCTTATCTCCCCCTCCCTTATTATATTCTACCAAAATAAATATTACAATTGACATAAGTATTCACAAATGCACCGCACATATTAATGTTAAGTCAGGGTTTCGATCAAACATGTTTTTTCTGTGAGGGTGGGGGTATGGAGGGGGATCACTTGAAAAACTTCTGGAGAGCTGTTAAAATTTCGAGGAGATCGGCTAAGTAAGGGGGGGGGTGACAGTGTAGAAAGTATAAACATTACATATTTGTTTATTTTGCTCAGGGAGAGGGAAAGTGCCCCCCCCCCTTTGAAATTAAGCTACTAACCTGAGATTTTACCCCCCAAACATATTTTTGTAAATTTCTGTAACACTGAAATAATTGCTGAAGTAATAACCAACCATTTAAAATCATAAACAGAGTCTACAACTGACGTGCTCAAGACGTGCTCCACACTAAAAACAACAGTCCCAGACTTCTGTAACACTGCCGTGGAACGGTTCGCTTGTTTTCAGACTTGTGGCTTCTCACAGCAAACATACACACCAGGTAGAAGTCCTATAATAGGTGTAACATAAGCTCTATAAGAAAATAAACCACAGTTTAATAGCAGTGTTTTGGCACTACTGTTAGTGAGTACTTATTTATAACTTGCAAGTGATTCATGCAATATGAGAAAATAATTTTTTGATATTTTTATTTAGAATTTTTAGCTTTATAAATAAAATCTATAAAACATTATATTTATGTTTCAATTTTTGATAAATTTTACTTCACAATTTTAATAAGCTCAACTTCATTAACACATTTTTCTATTACAACGTAGGTTATTTTAAATAATAATTAACACTATTTGCAAAGTTCAAAAGGTATATGTTTTTCACAGAAGTCGTGCGATACTTTGTGTAATCAAACTTAACGAGGTCAATTATTTTATGTTTTACCTTGAGGAGTAGAAGACATCAAGTAGATCAGTTTATAACCGCCCTTCATTACCAGAAATATTTAAAATTCACCTTGCGTTCAAGTACCAAAAGGAAACTAAGCTAAGCTGGCTGGTATGAAAAGCCCACCCAGCCCAACAAGCCTACCATCTTATGACATTTTTTTACAGCCACATGCAGCCCACCCAGCCTACCATCTGATGTGTACGCCGCTGGAGGATTGAAGAGTGTGTACAAGGAAGGGGAGGTCATCAACGTCACTTGTACAACTTCCGGTTCTTTTGTCAACACAATCCGATGTACCAAAACTGGATGGTCGGGTCATGCTTTCACTTGTAACGGTACAATTTTTTTTCTACGTTTTGTTTTTCTACCCAATATGGTATTTTAACAACATAACGCATTTCTAGTTGTTAAAATAACTATTAGGCTGGATTCCAAATATATATAGTAAAACAATTACAATAAGTGGTAGTAAGGTAAATTTGAGCCGTTCTTAACAGATTCACCTTTACTGATAATAGCAAATTCAAGTCTACTAAATAGTTACAAATGGGAGGACATGGCCTAAACGGTAGAGCGCTATGTTGCTCACCCGATTTCGAATCCGGGTCGCGTCGGTAGAACATCACTGAGGCCATCCAGCTAAGATGGGTATCATGCTCATGTTAAAGAATATAAAGGGGCCTGGTCAAAATGCTGACCACACTTTCTCTTCATATTCCAATGTCAAGAAAAATATGAACTTTACTTCATATTCCCAATGGATCACTGGGTCTTAAGATGATTATGTAATCACTAAGTCTAAAGTGGATTCTTTACTATAACTTTAATATATTAGAGAAAAATAGTCACCTAAATGCAATGGCAACATTCAAAAATGTTAAATTGACTGCTATCTCTTTAAAAAATCAATACAATAATCTGATGTTCTTTCTACGTCTTTAGTTCTTTGACAACATATTAATTAAAATTAGCAGCTAATGAGCCCTTGAACGACCACAGGCTGTCCGGCAAGTTGGACGTCATACGAAGACCGATGTTTTCAGTTTTTTACACCGTGGGTCACTAGACAACAAGCTGACGTCAACTGTAAGTCATATGACGTCACGGGGACGTTGTTCGAGATCAGGAAACTGGCAGACCAGGTCATGGTTCGGCAATACAAACAGAAGCTGGGATATGAGTAAGTCAGTGGGTAATACAAACAGAAGATGGTATATGAGTAAGTCAGTGGGTAATAAAAACAGAAACTGGGATATGAGTAAGTCAGTGGACAATACAAACAGAAGCTGGGATATGAGTAAGTCATTAGGCAATACAAACAGAAGCTGGGATATGAGTAAGTCATTAGGCAATACAAACAGAAGCTGGGATATGAGTAAGTCACATCAGTGGGTAATACAAACAGAAACTGGGATATGAGTAAGTCAGTGGGTAATACAAACAGAAGCTGGGATATGAGTAAGTCATTAGGCAATACAAACAGAAGCTGGGATATGAGTAAGTCATTAGGCAATACAAACAGAAGCTGGGATATGAGTAAGTCACATCAGTGGATAATACAAACAGAAACTGGGATATGAGTAAGTCAGTGAGTAATACAAACAGAATCTGGGATATGAGTAAGTCAGTCGGTAATACAAACAGAAGCTGGGATATGGGTAAGTCAGTGGGTAATACAAACAGAAGTTGGGATATGAGTAAGTCAGTGGGTAATACAAACAGAAACTGGGATATGAGTAAGTCAGTGAGTAATACAAACAGAAGTTGGAATATGAGTAAGTCATTGGGTAATACAAACAAACGCTGGGATATGAGTAAGTTATTTGGCAATACAAACAGAAGCTGGGATATGAGTAAGTTATTTGGCAATACAAACAGAAGCTATGAAATTAGTAGGTTAGATCAGTGGGTAATACAAACAGAAGCTGGGATAGGATAAGTCACAAATGCAGGTTTTATGTGAGAAGCTTTTTGGTGCTGACGAATCGTTAATTAAACAGAACACGTGATTCCAAGCCACTCAGTCATTGCAAGTTATTGACAGCCGCCCGTGAATCAGGAAGTTAATTTGATGACTAAATACCAATTTATAAAATAAATAAAACAATAAATCAATGTTTATAATTTAAAACAAATATTATTTTGCCAACACCATTTTAATTATTAATGTTAATTAAATTATCTGTTCCACAAATAAAACAGCTTTACGCTAATCTTGCTTGATGGTTTTTCAAACAAACAGTTATCACCATGGTAACTGGATTAGCGGTGAGCTACAATCGGACCATGGGAAATGGTTGCTCAACTCTGGTGACCTAATGACCTACTTTAATTGGTCAAGAACAGTTGGTAAGTCCTGATAACATAATTCAAAAACGTTTTGAAAGCAATGCAATTGAATGAAAACAACACATTAGTTAAAATGAATTTAATATTTAAGACAGCAGAGCACACATTTATATATGTATGTGAAATACGTATGACCGTATTATAACACTATCTAGAGTTAATGAATGCGTAAAGATCTAACAATTCAATGGTTGAACATGATCGCTATTATGTTCTGTATTATACTGTAATGTTTTATTTTGATGATAAATTAGCCTTATATGTTATGTATTTACGGCTTGCAACTTTTGAGTTTTCTAAAGATTTTAGAGTAACATTTAAAATGTTGTTTACGATACTAAATTGTGATATTTAAGATTTTTTTTGTAAAAGAAAATATAACTTAAACATTAAGCTAAATCAATACAGAAATTATATTTTATTTTCAAAACCTAAAAAGAAAACAATTTAATAAAAAACCTTTGACATTGTATATTGTTTGACATTGCGTACAGTTAATACAACGTTTTAAAGGGGAAAAAAACTCGTTTGAAAATTATTTTGTGCGCTTGATAAAAATTGTTTTTTTTAAATTCGTGTTTCAAGAGATTTAGCAGTATTAAAATTGTATTTAAATATTCGTGTTGACAGATACCACTAGTATGTCGTACAACTGTATCAAGCTGATCGCTGAATATGAAGCTCATAACGACCAAGGGGCGTGGCGGACCATGGACTGTGGGGGGACGAAAACAGCTTCATACATGTGTCAGGTGGATAATTCGTGTGAGTAGGGGGCAGGTAATTAATTAGTGAGGGTGGGGGGGGGGGAGTAAAGAGACAAAAACAGCATTCAACATGTGTATATTTTTTTGTAAATTTGGACACGAGGTGAAAGGGAAGGGGCTGATTAGACAAAAAACATCACCGTCCATGGGTCAGGTTGACAACTCTTATATGTAAGGTCGTGTATGCAGTGGCGCAGCGAGGTCGGGTGTCACCCGGTGCGGCACTTAATGGTGTCTCCCCTTCCCGGGGACAAACTTTTAATTTTCGATTTGCACCCCCCCCTCAAACTTACGATTTGCATCCCCCCCCCCCCCTCAAATTTTTCTGAATATATTTTGCTATTTTTTGCGTGGGGGTCACCCCCTAAATGGTGTCACCCGGTGCAGTCCGCACCCCCGCCCCCCCCCCCCTCGCTACGCCTCTGCGTGTATGTATGTTTTGAGGCGATGGGGAAATAACAGGTAAAGGGGAAGTAACTCTTGGAAGCTTGGTGCGTGGGAGGGGTGGAAAATGGTGAGGGAGGGGTGGAAATTCTCCGGGGGTTAGTGTAGGTGGAGTATTAAAGAGGTGATTTGGTGGGGGTGGGGGTTAAGTTCTAATTACTTCTGAAAAGACATGTTGACAAAAGCGAAATGGACTTATTTTTCTCTCAGTGTCCGCTACCTGCAACGATAAAATCCCAAATTGCCAGAACGTCCTGATGTCATTCCCAGAGTTCTGTACTGACCCCAGGTCTTCCAAGTCTGGTGAGATGTACTGCAAGAGGTCATGTGGTCACTGCCCAGGTAAGATGTGTGACAAGGTCATTAGGTCACTGCCCAGGTAAGATGTGTCACAAGGTCACGTGGTCACTGCCAGGTAAGATGTGTCAAGGTCATGTTGTCACTGCCCAGGTAAGATGTGTCACAAGGTCACGTGGTCACTGCCAGGTAAGATGTGTCAAGGTCATGTTGTCACTGCCCAGGTAAGATGTGTCAAGGTCATGTGGTCACTGCCCAGGTAAGATGTGTCACAAGGTCACGTGGTCACTGCCAGGTAAGATGTGTCAAGGTCATGTTGTCACTGCCCAGGTAAGATGTATCACAAGGTCATGTGGTCACTGCCCAGGTAAGATGTATCACAAGGTCATGTGGTCACTGCCCAGGTAAGATGTGTCAAGGTCATGTGGCCACTGCCCAGGTAAGATGTGTCAAGGTCATGTGGTCACTGCCCAGGTAAGATGTGTCACAAGGTCATGTGGTCACTGCCCAGGTAAGATGTGTCAAGGTCATGTGGTCACTGCCCAGGTAAGATGTCAAGGTCATGTGGTCACTGCCCAGGTAAGATGTGTCAAGGTCATGTGGTCACTGCCCAGGTAAGATGTGTCAAGGTCATGTGGTCACTGCCCAGGTAAGATGTGTCACAAGGTCATGTGGTCACTGCCCAGGTAAGATGTGTCAAGGTCATGTGGTCACTGCCCAGGTAAGATGTCAAGGTCAAATGGTCACTGCCCAGGTAAGATGTCAAGGTCATGTGGTCACTGCCCAGGTAAGATGTGTCAAGGTCATGTGGTCACTGCCCAGGTAAGATGTGTCACAAGGTCATGTGGTCACTGCCCAGGTAAGATGTGTCACAAGGTCATGTGGTTACTGCACAGGTAAGATGTGTCACAAGGTCATGTGGTCACTGCCCAGGTAAGATGTGTCACACGGTCATGTGGTCACTGTCCAGGTAAGATGTGTCACACGGTCATGAGGTCACTGCCCAGGTAAGATGTGTCACAAGGTCATGTGGTCACTGCCCAGGTAAGATGTGTCACACGGTCATGTGGTCACTGCCCAGGTAAGATGTATCACAAGGTCATGTGGTCACTGCCCAGGTAAGATGTGTCACACGGTCATGTGGTCACTGCCCAGGTAAGATGTGTCAAGGTCATGTGGTCACTGCCCAGGTAAGATGTGTCAAGGTCATGTGGTCACTGCCCAGGTAAGATGTGTCACACGGTCATGTGGTCACTGCCCAGGTAAGATGTGTCAAGGTCATGTGGTCACTGCCCAGGTAAGATGTGTCAAGGTCATGTGGTCACTGCCCAGGTAAGATGTGTCACAAGGTCATGTGGTCACTGCCCAGGTAAGATGTGTCAAGGTCATGTGGTCACTGCCCAGGTAAGATGTGTCACAAGGTCATGTGGTCACTGCCCAGGTAAGATGTGTCAAGGTCATGTGGTCACTGCCCAGGTAAGATGTCAAGGTCATGTGGTCACTGCCCAGGTAAGATGTGTCACACGGTCATGTGGTCACTGCCCAGGTAAGATGTGTCACAAGGTCATGTGGTCACTGCCCAGGTAAGTTGTGTCACAAGGTCATGTGGTCACTGCACAGGTAAGATCTCAAGGTCATATGGTCACTGCCCAGGTAAAATGTGTCACAAGGTCATGTGGTCACTGCCCAGGTAAGATGTGTCACAAGGTCATGTGGTCACTGCCCAGGTAAGATGTGTCACAAGGTCATGTGGTCACTGCCCAGGTAAGATGTGTCAAGGTCATGTGGTCACTGCTCAGGTAAGATGTGTCACAAGGTCATGTGGTCACTGCCCAGGTAAAATGTGTCACAAGGTCATGTGGTCACTGCCCAGGTAAGATGTGTCACACGGTCATGTGGTCACTGCCCAGGTAAGATGTGTCACAAGGTCATGTGGTCACTGCCCAGGTAAGTTGTGTCACAAGGTCATGTGGTCACTGCACAGGTAAGATCTCAAGGTCATATGGTCACTGCCCAGGTAAAATGTGTCACAAGGTCATGTGGTCACTGCCCAGGTAAGATGTGTCACAAGGTCATGTGGTCACTGCCCAGGTAAGATGTGTCACAAGGTCATGTGGTCACTGCCCAGGTAAGATGTGTCAAGGTCATGTGGTCACTGCTCAGGTAAGATGTGTCACAAGGTCATGTGGTCACTGCCCAGGTAAAATGTGTCACAAGGTCATGTGGTCACTGCCCAGGTAAGATGTGTCACACGGTCATGTGGTCACTGCCCAGGTAAGATGTGTCACAAGGTCATGTGGTCACTGCCCAGGTAAGTTGTGTCACAAGGTCATGTGGTCACTGCACAGGTAAGATCTCAAGGTCATATGGTCACTGCCCAGGTAAAATGTGTCACAAGGTCATGTGGTCACTGCCCAGGTAAGATGTGTCACAAGGTCATGTGGTCACTGCCCAGGTAAGATGTGTGTAAGGTCATGAGGTCACTGCCCAGGTAAGATATGTCACAAGGTCATGTGGTCACTGCCCAGGTAAGATGTGTCAAAGTCATGTGGTCACTGCTCAGGTAAGATGTGTCACAAGGTCATGAGGTCACTGCCCAGGTAAGATGTGTCACAAGGTCATGTGGTCACTGCCCAGGTAAGTTGTGTCACAAGGTCATGTGGTCACTGCCCAGGTAAGATGTCACAAGGTCATGTGGTCACTGCCCAGGTAAGATGTGTCACAAGGTCATGTGGTCACTGCCCAGGTAAGTTGTGTCACAAGGTCATGTGGTCACTGCACAGGTAAGATCTCAAGATCATATGGTCACTGCCCAGGTAAGATGTGTCACAAGGTCATGAGGTCACTGCCCAGGTAAGATGTGTCACAAGGTCATGAGGTCACTGCCTAGGTAAGATGTGTGACAAGGTCATGAGGTCACTGCCCAGGTAAGATAAATTAAAAATTTTTTATTTTTTGTAATGTCGTGATCAATTTTAAGGTTATTGCTAAATTTAGATTATCGGATGTGGTTAAGGATATAGCTAAATCAATAGTTAGGGGAACATCGCATGCAAAAAGTATTTTCTATATGTCTTAAAGGCCTATATATATTGTTCTCATATGATATTGATACTATTTCTTGTACAAAAATCTAATCTTATTCTTGGTTGATAATTTGGAATGTTGGAAATTATTTTTTTTCATCATGTTAAGCGCCATATAGGCCGTTGACTACGATTTCAGCCTTTCTTTTCTTTATGGATTTGCTTCAGTCAAAAACAAACTAAAGTAAAAAACAAATTATAGTGTAGCGGTTATTTGATTTGATATTTCCTCTTTTAGATGGTTGGTTGTTCTAAGCTATTGCATCCCATCTCCCAGGGGATTCGAACTCGGGACTTATGTAAGTTTGAAAGATTAATGTATCGCATCAATCTGTAGGAGGCAACCAATGCTCTGATCCTGTGGGGACAACTTATACCCGGACATCTCAGGCCACAGTTATCTACCCTGGTCAGGTCATGACCTTCACCTGTCGGGATCATTTGTATCACGTGGGCGGTGACCTGCGGAGGGCGTGTTCGACTTCCGGTAAACTGCTAGGCTCAGAGCCAGTGTGTTCAGGTAACACAACGCCAACATTTATTAATGGCGTCCATTATTGTCTGTTTAGTCCATCAACTGTGATAGGGCTATCTGGCTATTTTCTATTCCTACCGCCCAGAAGTTCCGCTTGGATTTCCTATGCATAATTATCCCATGGTGTGTAAAACTATAAAGCCATATGGAACCATTTTGGAACATAGACAGACGTATATTAAAACGTTAATCTTTATAACGGCCATCTGTGGTTGTGATTAAAGACGTGCATGTAATGTAAATTACCGTATAGTAGATATATAATTGTATGTCGATATAGGAAAGTTAAAGTACATTTATCCTTTCGGGATGGCGAACCATGAGTGGATCAGGTAGAGATAATGTGTTTTTTGTGTGATCTCGACGTATGAGTGGCTCGTGGGTACAGCACTTTGCCCAATCGCCTTTACTTTGCGTAACGTGAATTAGGTACCCATTAGAGCTGGGTGGACTCAAGGATACTTTAATAACTCGAGCCCTAGAACCGGACTTAAACCCAACAGACCTCGCCATCCCATATAACTATATATTTTGTGTTTTGAAATATGTAGAAATATAACCTATTTATGCTTTCATCCATAATAAAATTGATATTTATAATTAGTTGTTATACTCAGTGGCGTAGCGATGTCGGGTGTCACCCGCAGCGACCCTTCCCGTGGACAAATAATCGATTTGCAACCCGCCCCCCTCAAACTTTCGTTTTGCACCATGCCTCAGACTTTCGATTTGCACCCCCCCTCAAGTTTTTCTCTCTATATTTTGCTATTTTTTTGCGTTGGTGTCACCCCCTAAATGGTGTCATCCGGTGCGTTCCGCACCCCCCCCCCTCGCTACGCCTCTGGTTATACTTGTATTATTAAAATGCCTTATGCCAATTTGATTATGTGTATAAAATGTGACCCACAGCGACCCCTCGCCCTGCTGACATCAAGCTGGAGAAAGTGAGAGAACGTAGGGAGACACTCCCAGAAAACCTGGCCTTTCTACTAGACTATGACGGATACAGGTGAGTTGTATCTGGCCACTTATGTCAGACTTGCCAGTAAAGCAAGCCGAACCTCTTGTTTCGGTTAGTATTGTTACATTAATAGTATAAAATGGCCCAAAACCTGGCTTTAACTTAAACTTTAAAAAAAATTATCTCTGTCTTAAATTGCAATTTTTACGTTAAAAATATATCCGCTTTTGTATATCCAACAAGTTAAGACTTCTGAACGCGCAATACAGGTGTCAAGTAGATTTTTAGATTAAAGTATGTATAACGCAATTCTGAGTAGAGTTAATCTATATCTCTGACCTCATGCCAATGATGAGATAGCGAGGTCAACAGGCTGGGTAGACTCAGCAACGACTAATTAATTAAACCCAATTCAAATCTCGGGAGCATAAATGAAGCTACAGACTTGACTTACAATCTTTTTTTCTTCTTCTTCTTCGTTGTTATTATTTTTATGTTGGGAGGGATCGAACTCGAGACTTTTCGGTTTAGCTATCATGAGCTTTACCGACTTGACCACGCAGAACCCTTACAATCTTTTAATTAACATACTTGAGCGACCACCATTTCGCACATTCAAAATTAACCAATGGTATTTAATGTAACCTCAACAGAGTTCCTTTCAATGGGAAAATCACCAGATGGTATTATTACTGCCAGAGCTCTGGTTTTGTGAATTTTATCGTCTTCAGAAAATCTGGGTACGTTTTTCTCGAATAGATGTCTCTACATAGTGTAGCTTTATAATTAAAGTAATAACTCATTTAAACAAATGTTTGCTATTCTCCTGTACTACGCACTGCAAATGTTATCAAACTAAAAAAAATATGCACGAAAAATTAGTTTTAATTTGTTTAATAATTTACATTGTTCTTTAATTTTTGCTCAAATTTTCATTGTATTTACCTCTTGCATAAGTGATTTCATTTAAACTTTTTAGGTCACTTTATACCTATGTGGGTTCAAACACTATTATTTGTGAACCCAATTGGATTCGAACATACAATGTACCGCTAGGAAGTCAAATAGATGTTTTTGAGGTAATAAACGATGAGGACATGCAATACTATTTAAAAAAACAATTACTGTAAACCATAATTTATAGAACAAGTGCTGTAAGCCATTAGCTCTTTAATACTAAGCCTAAGGTAATTTAATAGTTTATTTTAATACCAATGTTTAAAAAAAAAAACCCAACTATTTAATGTTATTTTTAATCGATAGACAAAATAATTAAATGTGACAACTTAGAATAAATGCGATGTTTTTTACAGTGTGACCTCAAACAGGTTAAAATATAACAAACCATGATAATATTATACTCGGAGATTTTTTTTTTAATTTCATAAACTAAACTTGTTTAAAAATAAAATTAACATTTTTAAAGATGATTTTCATATTTTACGTACAATTCCTTTCATTTGCCCACAGAATGATGTGTTTGGTGCCTTTTCACCAAACTCTACAACCCTTAGCATAAGTGTCTGCGACACTGCAGATCTGAAGATTCTGAATGTGCCAACGACGAAAGCGGCGTCCCTCGCTGACCTGCGGTCAAGTAGTGGTGTGGTGTTTGAAGGAATTAAATGCGCCGTCCCCTCTCTTGGGATACGTGTGGAGCCCTAATGCCTTGTGGGGCGATATAACATTGTGGAGCCATGACTTCATATGGAGTTATAGTTAGCCCCATGTGAAGTTATACCTTCATGTTGAGTTATAGCTTCATGTTGAGTTATAGGTTCATATGACGTCATGTGAATTTATAGCATCATGTGGCGTAATGTGGAGTTATAGCTTCATATTTAGTTATGTGAAGTTATAGCTTCAAGTGGAGTTATGTGAACTTATAACTTCATATGGAGTTATAGGTTCATGTGGCGTTATTTGAAGTTATATCTTCTTATGAAGGCTCATCTTAAATTGGAACCAATTATGTATTTTGTATTTTATGAATTAACTAAAAAAAGATGTAAATATATGTATCTCAACACTGAAACACGTTGTTCTGTTGATATATATATATATATATATATATATATATATATATATATATATATATATATATATATATATATATATATATATATATATATATGCGTGAGTTTGTGTGTATGTATGTGTGTGAGTGTGGTGGCGTAATGTTTGTGTGTATGATTTACGCTAAGTTCAGTGTGCCTAAACGGACCACGGATCTTTTGGGCGATGGCAAACTGGGCGACAGCTAACTCGGTGAGACAACTGAGCGATTTTCTAACTCGGCTATGAT